TAGTTACCCATATGACACTTGAAGGTCAGAATTGAAACGTTAAAAGACGTCTTTTCACCAGTCGCTTGTTCTCAGTCTTGAGAAGCTTGTTATTATTTACCTACGGGCGGTCTGACGTCCATACATGTACTATAAAGAAACATGCTATTGCGTCACTAATTTGTTTGTTGTTTAAAGAGTCCCGTATCACTGTCAAACACTGTAATTTAATAGTATAGTATTGGAACTGTGTTTTCTGGCATGACTAGTTTTGAAAATCATTTCTGGAAAGAAAACCATACTTCGCAGACCTTTTATGAGGAACAGTGGAGATGAAATAATAACTATTAGCAACAACAGTGTTCTGGGTGTTAAAAACAGTCTGCGGGGCTAACCCGGGTTCGAACCCTGAACTTCAGATTGCTGAACTATTGCTCTAACCGACTGAGCTACCTGGTCCGGACGGAATTTGTCTGGCCCAATTGTTCTACAGTTGTATCCAAAACGGAAGTTAAGGGGAAGTTACTGTATAAAGGAAAAAACCACAATGCAGTGGTACAGGGATCCTTTACCTCAGTGTCCGTAGCATGCCCTTATATCTCGTTGTTGTGTGTCTAATATTCTGTTGCATGGTTAACGCAAATCACTCAGTATTTTGCGTCTGTGCTTCGAATACGTTTTTTGAGAAGATTCTGAAGTGGAAGGGGTATACATCTGCGGTCATCTATTGGAGTAATTTGCGATAATGATTCTAAAGTGAATGTATGCAAGCAAACTTTTTATATTTCCATGCATATTTGAAGCAATCAATCTTACAACGAAAAATAAATATTCTTTGAAAAGAAAACACGAAACGATTTATTGATGAAATGATGGACTTTTTATTAAGCAAGCTAATTCATAGATGTATCACATACGGATATGATTTGGCTCATTTGAAAATAAGATTTTAGTTCACTGGTTCGTATATATTTGAACTTGTTATGACCTTCATCCTTTGGTTTGGTGTTTTCCTGTGCCTAAGCAATATAATAATGTGATGGGAGTCAAAAGAGATTGGAGTGGGATCCTAACGGGACAAACAGGAAGTCAATGTGCGATAGACGTGTTTGTTCATTTATCTTTCAATATACAAGGCGATGGCCCCTAGCTCCTGCTGGTGGATGGTTTAGTCCCCTATGTTTGCTGTAACCTTGGTCACAGTTATCTCTTTAGAGTAGTAGCACAGTTTATAATATAATATTTAGCTAATTATTTAATTCGAAATTAACTAGTACTACTCTAAATTTTGAAGTTAATTAATCTAAGGGTTTTACGCACATGTCTCCACTGTTTGTACACTAATTTTGACAATTTGGATTTCGAACATATTTGGCCCATAGCATGACCGATGAGTCTCAGAAGGACCAAACAGCTGTATGATGCAGTGTCACTCATCGTTTGACATACTGTATCTATTCCGTCTTTGCGTATTGCAGAGTTATCTTCTCTTTAGAGCAGGTATTGATTGTTACGTCCTTTGTTTGTGAGAGTAACGTCATCAATTTTTGAGAAAACGACGTATTTTTCTCACACAAACCGATGACGTAACAATCGATACCTGCTCACAAGAGAAGATAACTCTGCAATACGCAAAGACGGAATAATCACATTTTTGAAGGTGTGATCACCTGTGCGTGTGTGTTGTGTTCATCATTTAACAGAAAGTGGGGGCGCTGTTTGGTACCTCCGGACACCTAATTCTTTTGTAAGAAACAGACATGTCAATGAAACTGGCTGTATGAAATTACATTGCAGCTCTCTGATAATAATGATAAAGGTATGAAGTTAACAATCTATTTACTGACATCTTAAATGTGATGGATATTTTGTACAACGTAAAGTGCATATTAAATATTATCTCCCTATACGAATCAGTTGGTGAAATATGACCCGGAAACCAGAACTACGGTAATTGAGGTCAAAGTCAAATGTCAAACAGAAGTTGCCATGCTCCAATTTCGGTATGTAACACAATGCCTTACTAAAATGTACATTCATTCATGAATAAGTGGGTAAACACTTGTAATTTTGGTACTTGAGGTTAAGTTCAAAGGTCAAGCTGATCGTGATGTACGTGTCTACCAAGCAAATTGTAAATAACATGAATAGGTGGGTCAAAAATGGCCCAGAAACACGGTCGACCGGACTTAGATACCGACGTAAATGACGCCATATACTTCCGACTACATAGAACAGAATTTGAATATGTTATCATTATTATTTGATTCTTAACGGTCCATCAACCCTACCGAGGTCATTAGGGCCAATACAAATTAGATAAAACATGTTTAAGGAAATTGAATCAAACGAACGAAAATATAAAACAGAAACATCAACCTGAGAGGTAAAAGTGGCGATGGTTAGGTATATCTTTCTGAATAGACCAACATTTGTATGTAGGTTAGAATTAAAGACAGATTTACTGTTTCGAGATCTGCGTATGAACTACACAAAAAGAATACGCTGACAAGTTATAAATTGTCTATATGGACTAAAGAAAACATGCATTTTCACATTATTATACTGAAATATTTCATAATTATGATGCTATCAGATTCTGTATTCAATATTTTTATATGAAAAGTAATTATTTTCGAAAACAAAAACTTAACAGTCACCTGAGTTCTGATATATTTAAACAGAGAGTTGATTTTTGTTTTTTAAAACATTTGGGCCCCGCCCTACCCCCCTTGGGGAGTAGGGCGGGGTCCAACTCCCCTTGGGGGTAGGGCTGAAGGGGGGTAGGGCTTGCTCAAAATTTTCAAGTATCAAACTGTCAACTCAGGGTTATAATTCCAATCAAGTTATCAACATGTAATATTCAAAGTATCATTTGCCATTATAAATCATAATAAATTTTGCCATCCCCCTCTTCCCCAGAGGTGAACGTGAGAACCTAGGGTCATAAAATTCACAATTTTGGAAGAGCACCTTAAAACCCTTCCATCTATGAAGTGTATTTGATTCTACCATATCTAGTTCTTGAGGAGAAGATTTTTGAAATTTTAGTCAATTCGACCCTTTTTGGCCCCACCCATCAGCCCCTGGGGATCAGTCAGACATGATACGTGCATACCATCAACCTGCTATCCAATACTGATAATGCTAACCCAAATTCAATTACTTCCAATGGAAATTAAACAAACGTTGGTTCAAAATGTAATTTCCCTATATAAACTATAGTAAAGTTTACCCCCTCCCCAGGGGGAAACGTGATACCCCAGGGTAATGAAATTCACAATTTTGGTAAAACACCTTACGACCCTCCATCTATAAAGTATTTGATTTTACCATATCTGGGTCTTGAGAAGAAGATTTTTGAAATGTTAGTCAGTTTGACCCTTTTTAGCCCCGAGACGCAGGCCCCTGGGGGCTGGGGACCATATAATTCACAATTATGGTTAACATTTGGCCATGGAAGGTTTCTGCAAAATTTCATTGAGATTGGTTCAGGGGTTTTGGAGAAGAAGTTGAAAATGTAAATTGTTTACGGACGCACGACGGACGACGACGGACAAAAGGCGATCGCAATAGGTCATATTGTCTCAGGTGACCTAAAAAGAGGTGAATTATTCAGGTCTCTTTAACTTTCTTTAAGATAGTCCTCAATATGATGATTCAATAAAAAAGAGTAGTAACATACAATAGTAAAACACTTTAAAGAGAAACGGTTTGTGCAATTGGTTTACTCATATAATTTGCATGCAAATAATAACAAATAGCTATTAATTAAGCCAATAAGTAATTACAATCTACAAAGACAAATGAAATATTTAATGATACTTATTTTGATTCTATGAAAATCAACACTTCAATCAATACTTTCGCATCATTCTTGATCAACTAAAAGTTTTTTCGAAAGCTCACCATTTGAAATCCTTTATAAATCACCCATTCAGAGATACATTAATGATTATACCACTTCCATACTTAGCATTGTTATTTAACGCACAGTAAAATAATATAAAGCTAATCTCATGTCAATGCAGCAGAAATTTAAAAAGATATCTGACACTGTTTTCCCTCAACTCCCAGACCATACAATAATCGTAAGAGAAGAAGAGGTTGATTAACGCTTTTTCTCCCACAACCACTGTAGGTTTCATAACTCATGACTCATTGGATAAACCTGCCAGGTGTTGGTAAACATTTTTGGTTACCTGGGTAACACCCTGGACGTGAATTCATCGGTCAATCTTTGATTTATGATCGATTCACGTAACAATGCTTTTAGACGTAATTTTCCATTGTGACGTCATGCTCCATGGCAATTGTTTCCCCGTCAGAAACACACAGGATGTATCTTCCAGAAAAAAAGTGGGGTTTCAGATAAAATACGAACGTTATGGGAGAAACAGGTCCCCAAACTCTCGTTAGTCTTTAAATGGTAAAAGACACTCGGTCAACCTCGTGTCTTTATACAATTTGAAGATTAACTAACTCGAGTTAGATAAAAATGAAAATCAACCATCACTCGTTGGGAAACCTCTATTGATTCTCTGTGAAACACATGTTCAGGAGCAAATTATCTATTGGATCCTTAAGTTATAAAATTTAGAGGGTTTTTATGTACACATCTACATATGCAGTTATGTTGCACACGTTTTGGAAATGTTATTGTTTTCATTTTTTTGAACTTTAATACCACCGATGAAGCCTACTTGGACGATATAACCACGTGGTGCATCAAAACGTTAAATAGATTCACCCTTCTTTGAATTTCTAGAGGTGATTTCTGTCGTTTTGATTGATTTTGATTCCAAAATTTGCTTAGTGTTTCTTTATTACGAGCAATCAGCTGTAATATAATAAACAATGATTTATGCTAAAAATATAGCATCAGCTTCACGAACTTTCAGGCTCGATTTAAATCAAATAATAACTTGTTTGTGTGTATGTTTGTTTGTGTTTTACATCACATTAACAACTATGGTCATTTAGGGATGTGCCAGGTTTTTGTGGTAGAGGAAAGCCGGAGTACCCGGAGAAAAAACCACCGACCTGCGACCAGTACCTTGCAACTGCCCCACGTAGGCCTCGAACCCGCGACCCAGTGGGAGAGGGCTATAGAGATTATGACGGTCAGACGCCTTAACCGTTCTTTAACAATAAGAACATACTAGAGAATAAAATATAAATAATGAGAAAAATATATACATTCAACATGTTGCAATCTATGTAACGCAATGACCTAACTGAATGCTGAAATTGGTCTTGTGTAAAGTCGGTGTCACCCACGTCACGTGATCGCATATAGACGACGATGGATATTTTGCTAAAAAGCCTTCCGATAGGACCAAGGCATATATATAGTTGCCCTAAATGTTTCCGATAAGATCATAAAAATTGTTTAAGATAAAGGGTATCACTGCACCAGCTATTATCGCAAAGAAGAGTCCCAATCATTTTAGTTTTTAATCAGAGCATTCTCCCTGCTGTATAGAAGATGAAGGAAAAAAAAGGAGTTTTTTTGCTTAGAATTAACTTTTCCTATCAAGTTATTGCGACTCCCAACTTGGACATTCATTGTGATAACTTGCATTCTATAATATCTGGATGTTTTAGTCTTCAGTTTGACCACTGCAGTTTTTCTGTTTTCTTATTTTTAATTCTATTTTCAAACAATCAGATTTCAAACAATTATACTTCCGTAAAATGCATTGCACCTTGTGATTTGTTTTTGCAATTATTCTGTTGAAAATGACTTAAACAAAAAAAATCACAATAGTGACAATGGAAAAATAATACAGTCTAACATGTCGGTACCCTTTATCTTAAATACTCCATTACTAACACGTACTAGAAAGTCAATTTCTGTTGATTTGTGCACGTATCAATGCTATATTAGGTTGTAAATCATTCAGAACGCCACTATCCTCATTGCAGGTTGCTGTCGTAGTAATACAAGTCATTTGATGACTGGCGGAACAGATGTTCAATCTCTTTGCGAGCGTCCATGAAGGTGGGTCGTGCTTTCGGGCTTTTCTGCCAAGTTTTTAACATGATGCTGAAGTGACTGCAAGAACAATGAAAGAAAACAATAAACAAAGGTTTAAGATTAGTCATAACGAGGATTTAAATATGTGTATCCGGTTTCCTCCCACATTAAGACCCCCGCTAACATCCGGGCCAACAAGAGTGATACATATAAGTTATAATGAATTGTTTCATGACTGTTGTAAAATAAATAAAGTTTTTATTATAAGTATATGTAGGGGTCACGGATTCAGTCGTTACGATTGACAAGTAAAGGCATGATTGTGTAGGTCTGATATGCAATGTATACTTTACAGCAAAGACTTTTTCCTTTTTTTGACGAACACACTGAAATAACGACAGTGTCTCAACATACAAGTTTTTATTCATTTACTCCGGGGTTTGGTTTGGTTATATTTTGTTTAAGATCCTATTAACAGCACAGTTCATGTAAGGACGTGCCTTCAGTAAATGTCAGAGTTTCAAAGTTTATTTGTAATATTCTGTGAGATGCCATTTTTTGAATCGTTTGTAAACTACGGGGGGAATGAGTTGTATACAGGTTTGCTTAATTTGAGTTTCCCGCTAACCTTTTACTTGAAAGTATCTGTTGCGCATGTGCGTGTGGGAATGCATCTTACCAGTAGAGAACCATGCTGTTTGGCAGAACGCAAACGATGTCAACGAAAACGATTTTAGCTACTTGGTCAGGAGAAAAAGGTATTAATCATGTACATTGAATTGTTATTAACGTATGAGCATGTTTATTCCTTGACAATTTGGTGAAAGGTCATCATTTTTCTCTACCTGTAGTCTTTTCCCATTTAACACTGTGCAAAGTACTCAGATTTGTAGCCTTCCGGGCATGGTATTACCGGTATTATTTATACACATTTACATGCAAAATGTCAGATAAACAGATTGTATAGTTATTCAAACCAATAAGTAGTTGAGATCAGTTATAGCTAAGTGTCTAATAGAGATTTCTCAGTGTAAATCATTTTAAACAATTCATAAAACATGTGTTGTAAACTTTTCACTAGAGTTATCTCCCTTGTCCCATGAAACTTGTTACATTTTTGAGTGTATTTTTGCTGTTGCTTAGTTTTGATACGAGGTTGGAGAATTTGTATCTGCAAAAGAATAGGATTTAATTGTAAAATTATTTCACTGTAATAATTTCATTGATCAATTACATTATACAATTTGATATAATTCAACCTACATATATGCATGTCAAGTACCGAGTAATTATCCAATATAAGGTCATTGATATTTGGTCAACTTTCTTTATAATGCCATTTGTTATAACGACACATCCTTTATAATGACAATTATTTGTGATTTTATACCGCTGTAATGTAAAGGTGATATACTGCATAGATATGTTTCTTTGTATAGTAACATGTCTGTTTTGGGGTGTTTTTGGAACATTGCGAATTCATGTTAGGTTGAATCCACATGGCGTTAAAGGTCATATTGATTATTAAGATTTACCTTGACCTTAAGATGTAATATAAGTATACAGCTATGTTGTGCGTATCACTTATGATTGTTATTTGTTTGTTTTCAGTTCTTACGTTGATGAATAAACAAAATTCAAACAGTAAACTTCAATCTTTGACCGAGCCAGCTACACTCTATGTGTGTAATGTATCCGTTCCTGTGTGTATGTGTGCTGGGGGCAGGGTATGTTTTTGTAGTTGCATCTTTGTGATAGAAAAAACTTGTTTGTCCTCGTAACAGCTGAGGTCATTTGATGATTGGTGCCTAGGAAGAAACCACCGGAGGGAGAGAAGTAGGACAGAAAAATTAACAGAAGGTTGCAATGGGGACAAATGTCACTTTAATATAAAACACATAAAAACACTGATTCTGCAAGGCTTCTCCTACATGAGTCAACTCATATGCAAATGCAGCCGCTTTATAGTTTTTCCTTAACATACCACAAGACTCGTAGCTATGGATTTGTTTTGGACACGCAATGTATGTGTACCAATTGTGATACTATCACGATTCTCACCGTCGATTGGGTTTAGCTTATTTTTATTTAACATCCTATTAACAGGTAAGGTCATTTAAGGACGTCTCTTCATGTGTGTAGTTTATACGTGCTTGCGTGTGTGTTTTCAGAAGACTGGGTATGTTGGTGTGCATTCCTCCTTGTGATAGCGCGGATCTGATGCCGACTTTATAGTGCTATCGAGTACATAAACATCTGAACTGCTACTGTGGGGGAGATGCAAATTCAACAGATGACATAATAATAGCAGAAAAGAAACTTAACTTTTTTTAAACTTAAAATTATTTCTTTTTATGCACTTTCTATTCTGAATTTAGAAACATCTCAATCTCCTAACCGATTCAGACACGTGACCTTTATGAGTGTTTCGCATGATGTATTCACCCTGCCTGTTCCGGGGTACATTGTTTTCCCAAGAGGCTACTAGTGCGAGGCCCCCTGCAGAATCGGGAGTTTTCTTCTGTGTCTTCTGCTTGGGGGATATCTTAGATACCAAAGTTGACCTGCTGCCCCTTCTACCCCTTCATAATGACAGACGCATTAACCACTTAGCCACTGCAGTCCTTAAACTTTAATTAAATGTAATACATGTACGCAGCCGTGTTATATTATGTTGTAATAAAACACACACATATATATATGTATCTATCCGTATACTTACGTATCATCACTGTATTCAGGCTTTGGTAGCCTCTTTCCTGACCTTAGGTACCTCGGGAGCTCTCGGCTTCGTACATCTGGGTAAGGTGTTTCGCCTGTCCAAATGCATGTTGACATTATCATGACATATTAAGTATACATCTGATAAAATACAGGTAAGTCTTACAATAAGTCATTAAATAAATATCATCTGCATATTTGTAAAATGCTGATTATTAAGTAGTTATTAAACTGTTTAATACAGCTTGAATCATACCGCTCTGTGCTGTTATCATAAAATGAATGTAAACACACTTCACGAAGTTATGCACGTGTGGAATTATTTATAACCTCTAGTAAAATAAATACAAAGGATATATAAAATGGAGCTACAACATCCAGATTCCGTAGTTTTATTAATTGAGGAAATTACGGGGGTAATAGGATATAAAAACTTATCGAGGTTAAAACTTGTTCCGTTTGGTATTACGAATAACTTACGAAGGTTCTTATCTAGTTCGAATATAAACTCATTCATCACTGAAATTTCATACTGAACTATTCTAACCATTTAATTGGAAGAGTTTAAATGTGTCCTCAGGGATGAATGAGTTAACGAAGTCTAACACCGGTGAGTACATCATCGGATAGAATTTCCATATTCCTCATATTTGCATAATGTTTGGCAAATTTCGTTCCACCTCTTATCCGGTAGTTTTGTGAAATCAATAGTAACATTATATTTATACAATGTCAGCTGAATGACTGTATTTTTGGGAAGATATTCAGTCACCGATCAAAATGACAACTTTATGAAAAAAACTGTTTCAAACCGCAAGCAGAAAGGAAACTTATTTTTTGAAGCTCAAAATCATTTGTTTTTATGCACTTTCTATTCTGAATTTAGAAACATCTCAATCTTGAACCAATTCAGAGACGTGACCTTTATGAGTGTTTCGCATGATGTATTTATCCTGCCGGTTCGGGGTGCATTGCTTTCGTAAGAAACTACTAATGCAGGACCCCCTGCAAAATCAGGAGTTTCCTGCTTAGGGGATATCTTAGATACCAAAATTGACCTGATCCACCTTCTATTTGTACTTCTCTATTCTTTCTATTCTACTGGTGCCTCCCTAGGCATTCGTCTTCATATTATCTTAGTTAAATTTAGGACGTTAAACTCCGTACTCAAAATCCACAAGATATACCTGTGTGTTGCATGTGATGGTATGGTAAACACAAACCCATCCTTAATGATTGAAGATGACGTTATTATAGTATGATGACAACGGTAACCACGGCCAAAGGTAAAAATAGTTTAGGATAAAAAAAACCCGAATTACCTATAGTAAATATCTCCCAAAGAACAATCCCATAGGACCACACGTCGCTCTTCTCGGAGGCTGACTTATTGCTGTCAAGACATTCGGGGGCTATCCACTTCACTGGAATGCGTTCCTGTTGATCACCAATATAACATTCGTTATATAAAATAATCTGATATATAAGAGTGGAATAACAAATATCAACCATTAATATTTGACACTACAAAACGCTTCAAAAAAATAAAAATACATTGATCACGAGTGTTGCAATGGGTGAGCAGAACACATTAATGTTCTCGGTGTAATACTAGCCTTTTTAGCCTCTCCTTCCTCTTCGTCATCCCCTTGCCTTGGCCCGAATCCGCTTATCCTAGCTTCCAGGCGGTCGGTCAGAAGAATGTTCCTTGCCGCAAGACGCATGTGTATTATCTGTGCAGAAAGTGTTCACTACATTTTCAAAACAAAGTACCAACATGACACTGAGAATAAATTAATTAAAACCATAAAATTGAAATTGAATGATTAAAAAAACCCACTTATTATTTAGATATTGTTTTTAATTTTTGAATACACCTGCAAATAAATAAACATAAATATACATATCGAATATATATCTCATTCCCAAATGTGGTAGAAAAGTACTTAATATCGAATGTGACAATGCATACTTTACAAGGTAGAGTTAATAAATATGACAATACATCGTTTTATAATATAAACTCTATTTAAATTTGAAGTATATGTAATTACAGGTAAAGTGTAGGACGCTTTAGAATAAATATAAGCTATTGTTGCAATCAATTTGGCTAATCAAACGATATATAATGCGTTTCATTTTTTAGAAACAAACCATAAAAGTCACTTACTTCTTGCGAAGCAAGATACTCCATTCCCCGGACAATGTCGTACGAGAAGCGATAGAGGTTTTCCACTACCGTCTCATTCACAGATGCTTTATTCCTCTGAAGCCATTTATTCATCGGGCCATTGTCACAGTATTCCAATACCATCACGGGTCCCACTGTGTTTGATAAACATATTCATTTATTCGCAAGAAGGTAGTGGAGAGTTACATGTTAAGCCAAAAATTAAATGGTAGTTGTGGCTATAGACATAGATGTTATTAGCCAGCATTATTATCTGTAAAATTAATCATTATTGTTGTCCATTCAGAACTAATTTCACTATTCACAGTTAAAAGAGTGTACATATCAGCGAAATTGTTATGATTGAAAAACTGTAAAATCCAAACCCCTCATATTCTACCCCTAAATAATTCATTTAAGCATGTTTTATATTTAGAGACTGGAGGATGAATTTAAATTTCACATTAAAGCACTATTTAGATATTCAGCATTGAGAAATCCATCCTAATATATTATGTGATTGGAGCTACAGTAATCTATTATATTTTGGGTTGGACAAAGATACATTTTGTTGCGACTTCAACCATCTGAAACTGTATTTCCCGGGGCCCACTATACACATAATTATATTCTTTATACTAGAGACACTACCTATATCTTATCACTTATAACTGCCTTTCCTCCTCCTCTGCCTATTGGCATAATACTAAATGAAAAGGCGTTAAATGCAGAATTCAGCGGACTTTGATAAAATAACTGATTAATTTATTTAAATAACGTGCATCTGTACGTTTGAATCTGGTTGGGTATATATGTATCAGTTTGTTTCACAAAAGAACCTTAATCTTTGTTAGCATTCTTGGTAACATTATTACAGTATATGAACCATTTCTTCCTGACGTCATTCGAATGCACTAATTACTTTGATGAAATTGATATACAAAGTATATGAATCGCTCACTTCTAGGGTCCTCTGTCACCGCGCCGATGAAGTCCAAGATACACGAGTGTTTACCAACCTTCGTCCCGAAGAAGTTTATTTTTGCAGTCATCAGTAACGAGTCTTGATCTGTGAAGTTCTCTATCAAATATGAAAAAAATATTGTAAAGAAAAAACACAATCATGAGCGAGTCTTCTCCGCTATCAGTTAATTAATGCATTCATTAATTGTTTGCTTTGAGTTAATAGTCCTGGGAACAGACAAGACTATACGAGGCCGGGTACCGGGGGAGACTACGACAGGAAGAGGAAGTATTTCAATGGGGACAGCAAATCAATTTGTCTTCAATGTCCTTAAAGTAAAGTTAGCAGTAAAGAACCCGTTTCTTCAGGGGGCCCCTGCATTAGTCGCTTCTTGGATCATGCAATGGTTGCAATTTTACCATAATGTGTGGCGATAAGATAGACACTATAGAAATCATTAAAATAACAATATGATAAGAAATGCATTTTCTCACCTTTCAGTGTTTTGGCAACGACATTTCTGGGTTTTCCGCCAACTTGTAGTATAGCCTCGAAAATTCTGGCGAACTTGCCGACAACGATAATGTTTCCAAGCGCCAAGTCGTCTGAATGCAGCATCCAGCTTGGTGCCTGTTCGTATGTCTGTGTTCCGTACAGGTAGATGTCCTCCTCAGCAAATCCTCCAGTCTGTTAATGTTAAAGTGTAATCAATTATGCCATAATTGAAATTGTTAACAATAGTTTGCAGGCAAAATTAATTTATTAGAGTTTTACATATTTGCAACATCTAATCGACATCCATACATAGGTGGGGTCACACAAAGGCTTTTTCAGTGCCACCTAACTGGTAATGTCTTATTATTCCGACACTTGGCTTACAAGTGGTGTCTAATGACATACAAACTCAACAACAATATTAAATAAATAAATAAATTAATTAATATTGATGATGAAAACACTTTCCCCCTTCAATTCTTACAACAAAACAAATACAAATTGATTAAAATTTATTTACACTCATGGAAGTGTCTATTTGGATTACCAACTTGTAGGCCCAGAGTGGTATAACCGATGAGTATTAGTAGGACGAAACAGTTGTATGGTGCATTATAATTTATTTTTGGCAACCTGATTCTATTGCTAAATTTTAAAGGTGCAATCGCCTGTGTGGTTGTTACGTTCATCCCTTAACTTTTCTCCAAGAATTATATTCGTGCAATTACAAAAAATACAAAATGTTCCCATAGTGGACAATTTAATCATTGCTTCCTTGTTTGTAAGTTTGTTCAAGCTTAACGGTCCCCCGACACAAGAAAGTAATCCTTGGCCTTAAGCGTCAAAATAACTCGAAAGACATTACACACATCAAAAACAATAAACAGGTTCAAACTATAACAAGCAAATATCTAAACCGTATAAGCAGTGAAAATGCTGTATTCTATTATAGAGGCCTATTTACTGTGTGTACTTTGTTTTGGTTGTAATAGAGACTTGTCCCAAAATTAGTTTTTTTTTGCAGGGAAATATAATTACTGTCCCTGTAAATATAACTTTGGAAGGTTGGTGGTGTGATAAAATGTCCGAAAAGGTTGTCTAGAAGATTCCATGTAAAATGTAACGACATTTTTAACTATGTACATATCATGTAAGACCGTTGATCATTTCGTATCTGCTTTTTTCTTACCTGCCATTGTTTGTAACCAACCAAGCCAGTGTTGGCCCCTCCTCTAATCGACCTTATGCGTTCAATGCTTCGTTCCTTTACTTTTTGCAGGCGACCAGTCTTGTGTAGAATCAGCACGAAGATTATGAATGCCAAAATGAGGATGATCACTGAAAACAAATTTATTTAATGAAAGTACATCCATAAATGAAATTTTTACTCACATAGAAATGTATAACACAAACATAAAAAGGACGTAGATTATTATCATAACATGCTTAATGGCCTATCAACTAAGGAGAGGTCATTGAGATCAATAAATGATCGATAAAAACAAATGTAATATTAAAATCGACATTGAGGGTTAAAGATTAAAATCAATCGTCGTCCTGAGTGTTAGAAGTGACTACATGTATGGTGATTCATTTATTTTGGAACAGACCAACACCTTTCAGTTGAAATCGTACCAACAGTTGTTGTTTCGAAAAGAGATTAAAGACATGTGACGTTATTATAGAAATTTTCCGAGTTGACTGAATGTCAAAGTGTTTTACTGTTGTTCGTGTCCATCATATCTTTTCCCCATTTTTTTAGCAACAAAGACGATGCAATAATACATGTTACTACTTAAATCTCTATAAAGACTAATACAAACTGCCTAAGAATTTACAAACCAAGCGCTATGGCAGCAATTCCTCCAGCTGATAAGGAAGATACCGTGACCACAGTTGTTTCCCCTGGACCTGGGTTATTTAAAACAGATGAACAATATTAGTCATAATGTAACCGGTATGGAAGTATGCTTAAGACTGGATGACTATGATAATTATGTGTATGTGATTGGATGGTTTATGGCGAATTTGACATTAGATTCAAAACTCACAATAAGAGGTCTTTAGACAAAACTGTTTCACTATGCCATTTGTGGAGAGGTCCAGGACTCTAGACGTCTTCATAGTGACCTCGTATTTTGTTATTGTTGCAGACATAAAATACAGCTACTTATTTACCGCCTTATACATTGTAATATACTTGGAAAGATTATAGACAGCTGCATGAATAAAGAAATCAAAACTGAGACAAGGTAGCTTTGCATTGTTTGTATACGATTTTTGAGACCATTGAAGGCAACAAACATCAATCTGCATTTAAAGTTAAAGCCTCTCTTTATTTTTTTTTTAGATATATTTGCGATTTTATTTTTCATTTAAATAATTACCTGTGATATTGTTCAAATGAGTGCTGATATCGAAAAATATATTGTTAGAATTAATGTTTCAGTGTGCTTCCACAAACAAAAAATGCTGTACTTACAAGCGGATAATCCATCCAATGAACTGATCGATGTAATCTAGTAAGGAAAAACACGTGCATTAAACAATCTTACTACAGCATGGAAATAAAACCTGTTTAAACGTGGAAAACTGTAACTTAACCAAGAGCTTTTTTTTCTGTTAACATAACATTTCTTTGCTATTGACGAAATAGATAGTTTCAAAGGTTCTTATCATTGATAAACGTAAATATGAAAAAAATCCGTTAGTTTCAGAAAATAAAAAAAGTGATGAATATATTGAAAAGAACCAATTTTAGGTAACAATCCTTTTAACATAAAAAATCTCACTTTTACAAATTTTTAACGACATTTGAAAACCCTTCAAACATCACGTTCCCTTCATATTTGAAATAAATCAATTTCAATAAGACATGTATCCATGTTATCTGTGTTTCAGTATTAACTATATCTAAAAACACCAAATTTCTGTAATTGATTCCTATATCTTTTTTTTTAACCAACCATAATATCAGTTTTGGTGAATAATGATGCTAGATTGTAAGACGTCAATGATGCTCTGACTACGAGAGTGGTCAAGTCCAAGTCTTTTTTATACAGCCAACAGTTATCGAAGTACATGTCATAGTTGAATGCGTAGCAGGCTCCTGTCGTAATACAGTAGCAGTCCCCGACTTGATCACACTCGGTTTGGGTTTTCTAACGAAACAAAACAAACAAACAAAATGTGTAAAGATCTTGCCCTTTATACACATTCCTATATATTTGATAACATTATAAGTAGATACAGATTGACAGTTTACATTTTTCTTTAAATTACAATCATTTAGTTTAATTCTTGCACACTGGAAACTATTACTATTTAAAATAGTAAATAAGGATAATTAAAATAGCCAATCAGAACAGGGCATTTAATGACGGAAAGAGCCGATGTATGATTAGCAAGTAGTTATCAGTCATTTAAATTTAGATATGATAATATACGCGAACTGAAAGCAACGTCTCTGACTAAGTTATACAGGGCTTTGAATACCAAAATAAATCAACAGTAAATGAAATATCAAATACAGATGCAATATATAAAAAAAAAATATGAAAATTTCATATTTAAATAATAGATGACAGTTCCAAACAACATTATCCTTTGTCTACCAACATACATTTGTAATGTTGCCTGAAGCTGCCGTGCCTGCATCATACAATAGTGCACCGGTGGAGTTATCATAGAAGGCAAGCTGAATGGAGGCTATCCCACTCTGTGTATCTGATGTTGTCATCAATATCCTGATAAAAAATAAGCAGACTATTTTCTTGTATTCGACACTTTTTGTTTCTATTTTCTTAACTGATTTAAAAACACAAACTGGTCTACATTGAAAATATCTACTAATATACGTACTTGTATTGAGTATAGTATTTGTAATTCATCTTTTGAAAAAAACCCACAATGGAACACAACGATCTCAATTAAAATTTGGTTGAATCGATACTACAATTGTCAAATATTTTAGAATAATGAAGACATCGACACCCTCACATAACCCTTTGTTGAATGTATACAGTTTTGTAATGAATAACCTGGTGTGACTTTTATTCGACTGTATGTCATTCATAAATTGACATTGCATTAATAAAAAATTAATTTTTTTTTTTTACAATCTTATCACTTCTCACTTCAGTTGTTAGTCGCTTTTAAAATTTCATAATTAGTGGTACCGCACAATTGCGACATTTTGACTCTTTCAATACATTGCTTAAACTCGGCTGAGGACGATGTGTTGTTCTCTTAGCCGATAACACTATATCGATCGAAATCAAAACTCTGAAATCAATAATTATTATTGGTTTTCCAACCATCGAAGGTCATAAATTAGTGATAAGGCATGGCATTGTCATCCTTATTTGTATATTTTCTGTGAATTTAAATAAATGAAAACAATGAAATAGCAACAACTTGACCAATATCTCATTGAAATTGATTATATTAACTCAATGGTCTGCCCAGGGTACCTAACATGCTTATGTATCTAAATATGTCTCTTTGAAAGTCAGTTTCGAAATCGATTGATTTGCAAATTTTGAATCAACCAAATCTTTTGTATTCATATCCGTGTAGTTGACTGTTTTATTAACAGGAGATCAACCAACGGACATTGTTTTAGCCAATAAAAATACAAAACTATTCAATGATAACATAAATCATATGAATCACATCAAATTGATCGCATATCTACACTGCAATTTGCACCAATTAACATTGACACTAAAAATGTATGCATCAAGTGTATATTTTAAGAAATGTAATCTTTTGAATATAAAATACATTAACGTTAATTTTGGGAATATAAAATAGCATCTACCGGCTTGCTGCAGTAAAGTCGGGAGAAGGCGAGTTCAATTCAAGGCTGGTACTTCGAACTATCGGATCGGTCGAATCAAAGCAAACCACTGTAGCATCGGTGGCGTTGTTGTCCATAATGTCATACGCTCGAACCCAAATCATCATGCAGTCACCGCCTATGACATTTTCAGTGAAGTTGTAGTATAAAGCCATCGGGTCAATGGTCGTCCAACCAGTAGCGGGAGGATCTGGTACTACTCCAACTAGCTTACGCTCGTAAACCACTTCAAACCTTGAATAGAAAAAAATACACTTATTATTGCACATTTAAGATTTGATTTAGGATACAGTAAACCGAAAATGAGCATCGCTGTAACTTCTAGTACATTTATCGTATAGGGTTAGTTTTTACTGGGGGAAATGGGATTGCCTTTAGATTTTGTACTATCGCTTCCCCTGATAAATTGCACAATATAAATTCACAATAAAGTTATAGTGATCGTAATAAAACAAAGTAGCTTGAAAAGCAAACTATTTCTCCTAAATACATATTATTTTATGTTACAAGCATTTACTCTTGAGAGATGTGCCCTAATTCAGTTGCTGGTACGTACTTTACAATACCCTCAATGTTTGGTATGGCTGCACTCGTCCGGTTACTATTATCTGTGATGTCGGTGTCAATGACCTTCTTGAAGGACGTGTCCACGTTCAAGTCCTGTAATTGGGGTGGATAATCCTGGATGGCATTCAGGAATCCTCCATCAGCTTGCAATTGATTGATAAAATGACTCGCCCAGTTCACACTGATAGCTGTGGCAGTGTTTTCTTGGTTATCCTGCCAGCTGTATCCAGACTCAGGCGTAGCACTGGTAACTTTCATAACTCCTGCATTTACTGTTATAGAAGAAACTGGGTCATACAGAAAAAATCGCCTGATGTATATTGAGTTGTTTGACGCATCAGCTGCTTCTAAGATAGTGGAATACATTCCAGGTTCTGCGGGCTGGTAGGTGAAACTGTAGTCAACTATACTGGTGTCATTGAACGCCGTTATCAATACCGGGCCTAATGGATCTGCCTCCAATAATATGTCTCCCTGTCGCGTTAGTTTGAATACCTCCAGTGCATAACGATACATCCCAGACAAGTTGTCAACCCAACCAGACCACTTGATAGTAACATTATCCTACAAAGACAAACAAACATATATATGTAAGAACGGACAGAACACTTCTTCCTGTGAAATGGTGGTAACTTGGCTGGATAAGAAATTAGCTTCAGACTATTTTTGTGGTTAGACACAACTATGCAAACAATGTACATGTACATGGAATAAGTCAACTCCATGATGAGGTCGATTTTTTTCTGATTCCTTAAATAAGAATTAAGATAGCTTAGTAATGTAATTCTAAAGATATTCCTAAAAAGGTTATTTAAAATGAGGGTCCATGTAAAATATTTGAACCAAGCGGATAACATTCTATCTAACCTAGTTACAGGCACAAAACCGTGACCTAAGGTATTATAATTTTCTCGAAAAGACGTCGTTTAAAGATATATATAAATCTGTAATAGTTGAGCTAGATGTAGTTTATTGGACTATTTTGATAACCCAACAACTAACCTAGCTATAGGTGCATTATAAAGCTCTCTATCTGACCAGTTCGCTTCAAGTCTAGTATCATAAACCTTAACTGTATGCTTAATAGTTTGAACATTTGAATATTAAATCACTTCTGCAATGTTGAATGAAGGACATTATTTACATGGACAACCCTCTAATCAAGCTAAATAATACAAGTACATGCTAAATACGACACTTTTTAAACAGACCGCGGTGGCAATCGCTAGTTTACTCAACGGGAGAAACGCAAGTAATTCAACACCGGTAAATCTCGACTTTCACACTACTTCAATTAAAGCTACTATGTACCTATTTCATACCTTGGTGATAGGGTTAGTGACTTGAAGGGGAGTTGAAGTGGGCGTGCATGTCAGGTTTGAGTTTGGAATGATACAGTGAGTGGGTCCGACGTAATCAATCTTGAACTCGACACTCTTCTGTTTCGTAGGGCCATTGAAAGTAAGCGTTGCATACGGTGTAGAGGTTCCAATGACATTTAACTTTTCGAAACCACCACTTTGTACCGAAAAGGTGATGGTGAATCTGAAATATCACAAAAAAATATGTTAGACTATGAATACATACTGAAGATTAATTGAACGGAGTGATAAATAAGTTTATAACGTTCCCAAAGCTGCAGTAGAGCGAATCTAAGACGTTATTATTCAGTTTTAGTGAATGCATGTGATGCAAGTCTGTTATGTTTAACAATTTGTTGGATACACCATGCACTTATCTCCATGGACGTTGTTTTATCATACGTTGTCAAAATATTTTGGTAATGTGGTATCGGGAGCGTCCGTACGTCTGTCTGTTCGTCCAAAATATGCTTTCATGATAACAAGCTTAAATGTAGTTCAATTTACATGCAATTCAATATCCATTTACATTACACAAAGACTGAAGCTAAGTTCGAACTTGAGCGAAATCCGTGCATAATTAGCATACTGTGCTCTGATTGGTCAATTTCCATACTTGAGTTTCCCCAAGATCACTTGGTTTTAATATGACTCAATTTTGATGAAACTTGGTGTTAATGTACATTAAATGAAGACAGAGGCTAAGTTGAGCAAAGTTTTTAGTTAGCATACTGCGCTCTGATTTGTTGACAGTTTCTGCAAAATAACTATGTCAACTGTGACTGGATTTTAAAACTTGGTACACAATTTTCCCTTTTCTTGGTTTGAAATATAAACCAAGGGAGACAAGTCCTATTAAGTCAATTTTTAAAGGTTTTAAATATACATGAAATAAGCCTTTGTTCGTGAAGTACAGTTTTTTTTTCTTTCACTACATTCAAGAAAGTGTTCACAACTTAGATGAGTAATACAGTACAAATGTCATTTCTTCTCCTTAAACTTCCATATTTTCATACAAAATGTATCAAAAGGGTTTTAAGTATCTGGGATTGGCATCGGAAAGGCGTATATTATTCCACCATGCAGTACTTTTGTTATTCACTGGAATTGGACATCCAGCAGGAATCGTATAAGGTTACTCATGTGGGGATTCTGCAGAGTCGTGTTTCTCTTCTTTGCCTTCTTCTTAGAGGACATTAAAGAGACCAAAACAGACCTGCTACCCCCAATGCAACACTTGGGATCTTAATCTTTTCTGTTCGTAGTTCTCTACCCGTTTCCGTTAAAGTCGGCATCAGATCCGCGATATCTAAAGGAAGCAAATACATCAACATGCCCTGCTTCCTTCACACATGCAAACCAGCATACATACAGTAAATATATGGAGGCATGACCTTCAATGGCCTTAGCTGTTAAAAAAATAAACCGAAAACCTCATACAAATAAACAAGTTAGGATTGGGTGCATATAAGAAATAAATAATTCATCGCGAGACGACACACACGGATGTTCGCCAAAGGGAATGATTGATGTACACAACTTACATATCGGCATGGTCAATCCTGAAATCGAACGTACTGAACGTAAAGAGGCAGTTAAGGATATCTTGCTCAGGTGCCAGAATGGTGGGGGACGGGCTACACAGTTGGGAGCCAAATGTTTTTAGACGGTTGTCCGCTGCAATATAAAATGTGTACATGATATCGAACTTTGCCTCGGTAGATACTGGATGTAAAGATGTTTAGATTCTATGATATAAACACTAACAAAATTGCATAACGTTATTTTCATCTATATTAAAATATCATTTATTACAAATATATTTTATCTTTTGATACAAGCGTTTTCAGACACGATACCTCATTTCACCTTGCAACAGGGTAAGCCCAGAACTCACGGTTGTAATCGGATGAATATACCCTTTATTCGTTTCATATATGCTTCATATGCTTAATGTGTAATACAAAATATCGTTCAAAGTATATAACAACTTGTGACCGTTGAAACTTACAAGCTCGGAGTTCATATGATATATTTGCAGATATTATGCCGAGTTTAACCTCTGGAATGTAGGTCGGGGCCATCGGAAGGAACCCAGGCTCGTACACTGCTTGCATGGTCACAATCCACATGTTAAACTTAAGTAGATTTGTCCACAGGACGTCGGGAAGATCTGAGTCTGGGTTGGTTGAATCGGTCGTCACATTGTAGACATCCATTTGTTTCATTTCATTGAAGAAGGCAAGTTCAGCTCGGGCAGATGTGAACGCTGGGGCTATTGATACTGTTAACATAGATATCGTGTTAGTTTGAATTTGTCAATAAAGATAATATATTAGTTAAGAATTGCATACTTGTCAATTACGTGTAGATATGTCAGTTTTATAATGAATAAAATTACAATACCTTCTGTGGTAAATTCAGGTTTTCATTTATTCAACTATTCACATATACAAACATCTGCAATGTTTTGTTGTCGGTTCGGTTGAGTTTAAAGGTATCGCGTGATCGCAACATTTGTAGACCTATGAAGACAGATGTAGAATTTGAAAATGTCATTTGATTACTAAATCAAGAGAGCATTAAGCACAGAAACGTGTGCTATACATACATGTACCATGTACCACTACCACCCTTTATAGTCGGTTCCTTAATCAAATTCAAAGTTTTTAATGTGTATTTGGCATGGGGGATTGTTTAAATTATCAATATTTCAGCAATGTTTTGATGTTTGTTGGGTTGATTTTATAGATATCGCGTCCTCGCAACAGTTTAAGCGATTTGTTTTAGCAGCAGGAAGTCACACATTGTATCCTTAATTTGTCCAGAAAGACGAAATGGAAGACCTTCTCCGATATCACACATGTTCACCACCACGACACATTCTCTGTACATTGCTGATTCGTAGAATTGCATATATGGAGTGTTTTTCTGATGCATATTCCACATAATTGATACCAATTGCTTTTAACAACTTTCTGCAAAATATGCAACAACGAACAAAACCCCAAAAAACATTGCATGAACATATATTATAAAGACATAGAAGAAAGTTTGAAAGGAATCTAAACAGAAATGAAATATCTGTTTACCCTTTGTGCAATTGCTGGCAGAATCCGTATATCCTGTAGCGCACGTACACGTGCTAGGAAGGGTACAAATACCAGGATAACATGGACGTAGATGGGAACACACGACTGAAAATAGAACGTGTTATATATATATGTTTGTAATTACTCCATTCATTCTATAAATAGAATATTTCAATCCGATAAAATTTACTTTAGAGGTATTAAATAATAGATCTTATAGCATGAATTTGTCACGGACTTATACAATTTTGAAAGAAATGCAATGCTTTTGTTATGAAAATATGCCCCTAAAAAGCCAAATCGTACCAATGTCAATATACCATTAAGTGTCAAAAACAGAAGGAATTGCAAAAAAAAAAAAGTTTTAAATAGATAGTGCATACATACCATCTCCGCAGTTGCTTCCACTTTGGCCAGGTGTACATGTACATGTGTTTGGTGAAACGCACGTACCGCCATTTTGACACGCATCATTGCACACAGCTGTGAATAGATGGAAAATAGATGGCATTAATCAGCTGCGGATGTATCTTGTTTTAAATACTGTTGCACTGCCCGGGTAGGAGATCTTATAAGAACTAATATTTTATTTACAGCCTACAGAAACTTTTTGATTTTTTACTGTTATTATTATTATTATTATTATTATTATTATTATTTCATTTCATCTGGATAAGAAAATGTGTGGAATTTGCAAGAGTTTAAATAAAAAAAAATCTTGTGTGTAAGAACAATACTCAAAAGCGCGGGAAATGACGTTGCATGGTGCAATCAGACCGTCTAAGTACATTATTATGTACATTAGTGCTACCAAATCTCTTCACTTCCGGTTGCCGGTTATAAATGTGAATGAGTGCACGAAGAAATCATTAAGTTAAGTGTCCATGTTTTGTTATATTTTAAACATCATATGCCTTTATATATTTAGTTTTATTCAGAATATTAAAACCTTGTAGGCCAAATGGAACGGCTACTTATGCATCTTGGTTTTCATATTGAGGGTTGTTGTAAGTGGTTGATACGCTTTTCATGCTCAAAGTAATTTATTTCGACCTCCCTGTGACATGTCAATTTCCGGTATACGGCATGGAGGCAGCGGCTCTTGTGACGGTCGATTAAAGTAAGTTTTCCTGTTCAAATTGTTCACTCTATGACTTTATTGTCTGTGGTAGGCCTAATGAAATTCCGAATACGATATGGCAATGTATCGTAGAGTTAGCAAGTATCCTCGATACACCAAGCAAAGCTACACTTCGTAATCAAAATAGCATCAGCGATTTTCCCCATTTTTGATACTTTTTAAGTTAATTTTGTTGTTGTTGTTGTTTCTGATTACAACTATTGATGTGTAGCTGAATCAACAGCAATGAAGCTTTTCAAGCATAACTTTCTTGATTGTTGCTACCAGATTGTCTGCGTATCGGTATTACTCAATTCCTTCACTTCTGGCTGCCGGTGACAAAATGTGACAGAGTGCACGCCAAATTGTATTGTATTGATATTGCAATTAGTGGAAGTGGCCGACACTTTCTTCGTGCTTACAGTATGTTAGTAAGACCTTGCTACCTTGACTTTCTAAATATAGTGGAATCAGATAGCTAGTTTAATAAGATTTTTTTTTATTGATTTTTTCACCGGAGTAGGGGGGTAGCAGCCATTTTTAACTGGAAAATGGTTAGTGCAAATGAGACAGGAATATGCTTTCTTTGTCTCTTTTCGTTTCTGAAATTTATATCACTTTTTTTCGGGGGGAAAGGGGTACATTTGAAATATGAAAATGGTTGCATTCATTATTTTGTCAAATTAGTGAAAGGTTACTGTATGTATGTTCTACATCCCAGGTTAAGAACTAATATTTACACGGTACAGTATTTATTTTATGTAAAACATACTTTTATATACTTTAGTGTCTATAAGTTACTGGTGATGGATTGAAAATATGTAGTGTAAATTGTAGGGGTTTATCTTCTGATCCTATAAAGAGAAGGGACATTTTTGAAAAATATAAAAGGTATCTTGTTGAAAACAATAGTTTTTTAACACATGAATACTTTTGTGAGAAATTCAATTTGGCCGTTAATTTCATTGAATTTTTGGGAATTTTAAATGCAATACCAAGGTCATGGAAACTAATTTTATTTCAAAGAAATGAACCAATTGAGGCAAAACAAAGTAAATTTATTCAGTATTTGAAGAAACATGAAAAGGTAACAAACTATTTTTATAAATTTATGCTGAAATCAGTCACATAAATACCAAAGAAAAGTCAAGATGCATGGCAGGAAATTTTACATGTAAACATTCCCAAAGAATCCTGGTGTAAGTTTTATTCAATTCCGAGATATATTACAGATGACACTAAACTTCAGAATTTTCAGTTCAAACTCTTTCATAGAATTCTATATACTAATACCAAATTAATGCAATGTAAATTGAGTGAAACAGAAAGATGCACATTCTGTGGTGTGGGAAGAGAAACATTAATACATTTATTATGGGAATGTTGTCATGTACAATCTCTTTGGTCATCCTTTATGTATCTCTTGAGGTCACAATTTGAAATAGACTTAGCAAGAGACCCAGTAACCATGTTGTTTGGTATTTTGGAAACTGAAAATGAAAATGAAATAAATTTCTTGATTTTAATATTAAAATATTACATATATATGTGCAAATTAAGGAGGAAACCCCTACAATTACTGAATGGAAAACTTACATGTTTTTTTATAAAAAAGTAGAAGAGTGTGGAATTGAAACATATTCAAATAAAAAAAAGATTATGGTAAATCAAAAATGGATTTTCATTGACAGAATGCTAAATATGGATACATGATTGTATCTTGTATATATATATTTTTTTTTATACAATCTTCAGAGTTAAATCATTCATGAAATATGTCAAAATTAATGTAGCAATGTAGCAGTATGAATTTTTTATGTTTGTATTTGTTGTAATAAAATTTTATAGATGCAAGTTCTGTTCAAAGATATAGATAACAAACGTACAGTGGCCTTTCATTATTCTTACTGATATTACATATTTTTGTATGTTTTGAATGTGACAACAAAAAAATTTGAATAAAAAAAAAATAAAAAAAAATAATTATTTAATAAAAGGGTATAATCCTTTTTTAGGGATTAAAAGTATGAAGAATTAACGGCTCGTTCACACAATACAGCAATACATGGTTACTTTGTTGAAGTGGCAATACAGACAGGCAAAGAAAGGAAAGAAAATTCAAAGAAATTGAAACTATAAAAGTTCCAATTCTCACTGGATGCTGCAGATTTTTTTCGGTCTTCGTGGTATTCCAAGAAACAAAATTCACGACAGAAACCTCCCATGCTGCAGGGGCTTTATCATTGCTTTACGTCCTCTTAACAGTTATTGCCTTTTAAGGACGCATAAAGTTGTGGTGGCGGAGGTTGACTTGAGTACCTGGAAAAAAAACCACCCAACCTATGGAAAGTACATCGTGACTGCCGGTCGTAGACCTAGAACCTGCGAACAAGTGGTTGGAGGCCTTGCTTATTAACCTACCAAGGCCTCATTTGCAAGGGGTTCCAGGAGTCGCCTCATATGATTTTAATTATTAATTATTAATATTGGAGATATTTCAAACAAAAATCCAAACAGGCAATTTGGATTGCAAGCATCAAATTTTAGAAATAATTTCCCCTTACGTTTACACGTATTCCCGACATCTTCGTAACCGGAACAGCAGTAGTACTCGGTGGTGTAGCGGCAAACGAGCACTTGTCTGAACACACAGCATCTATACAAAAAAATGCATACACTAGGCTTAGAGCACTGAACCCTTGGTAGAGAACATATAAAACAAATACCAATCTGATATCGTTGAATGTTTGTAATTAATGAATATATATGCTACAACCCTTGCGGAAAGATCGACCAGAATAAAATCTAAGTACAGCATGGTTTCTGAAAGTGTTGACATGCAGATACATTTTCTTATAAAAACCATCGTTACCCGCGCTACATTTCGTTTCTATTCTTCTGCGTGAAAACCTGGCAATATTTACGATGCTCTTTTGGACTGAAGAGGATAACACGATAGGATACTAGTAAAGTCATTTCACCTGTGATCTATAAAATTTAAATACATTATTTAATATACAAGCATAACACAATAAGTTTTTACACTTTGGACAATATACCATAATGTCATCATGAATACAGCTATAAAGTGTCTTTTTCTCATGCTAAATGTTGCCGACAAATACCGTTCCTTACAATCTAAAGTATACAAGTTGATATTGGGAATGCTTTCTGTCTGATCATCTACAACGTTAATAAGGGAGAATAATTTTAACGTAAATCATAAATAAGGAAAAACGTTGATAAAGGAGAGCATAAATAAGATAAAATATTAACATAAATGAGCAAGAATGTAAACATAGAAAGGAAGGATATAAACATCAATAAGGAAGAATGTAGAAGGTAAAAGCATGAATAAGGAAGAATATTATCAGTGAAAACATTAATGAGAAAGAACGTTATCAGTGAATACATAAATAAGAAAGAACGTTATCAGTGAAATTATAAATCAGGAACAACAGTATTAGTGAAAACTTAGTGTAATAAGAGAGAAAGTAATAAAAATCGAACAACAGGAAGGAATTATATAATGAGTGAAAACATCAATACGGAAGAACATTATCAGTAAATCCATTAATAAGGAAAAACATAGTCAGTGAAAACGTCAATACAAAGGACGAACAGTAGTCAATGAAAACATAATTAGGAAGAATTTAAAAAGTGAAAACATCATTACGGAAGAAAGAATTCAGTAAAAACATAATTAGGAGGAATTTAAAAACGGAAAACTTAAATATGGAGGAACGTTATCAGTGAATAGGTGGGAACATTGAAAAGGGAAAACATAAACCAGTCAGAAAGTTATAGACGTTGAACATAAACATGATTATAATAGATCATCAATCAAGAATAAATTGACTATGAGAGAACATTAAGAAGGGAGAAAACTTAAAAGGAGAATAAAAATCAAGGAGACATAAGTACATATGTAAGGAATAATATGAATAAGAAAAGGATAATTAAAGGAAAAGATAAGACAAAATTAAGTATGAAAACATTAACAAGCGGAAAAATATAAATAAAATAAGAATATAAGAATATTAACAAAGTTATGCATTGGTATGGTTGAAAATTGATAATGGAACATGAAAATAAAGGAGAACACAAATAATAAAACAGGGCGCATCAATAAAGGAGAAAAATTTAGAAGAGAGAATATGTACAAGGCGGTGCATTATAAGGCAGAACATTTATAAAGGTGAACATTAATAACGGTGAAATAATACGAAAACAGGGAACATTGATACAGGTGAACGTTATTAAGAGAAATATTGATAATAGAAAAATGAGACGATAAAAAAAGGAGGGACATTAATAAGGAAGAATACGAATAAAGGAGACCATAAATAAGGAGGAACATAAATAAGGAAATAAAGGGGAACATGAATAAGGAGAACATAAAAACGAAAACAGGGCGCATTAATAATGGAAAATATTAATTAGAGGGAATATTGATCATAGAAAATGCAAATAAGAGGAAAAAAGGAGGAACTTCAATAAGAAGGAAAACTTGAAAAGGAGAATGTCAATAAGGAAGGTAATGATGGAGAAAAACATGTTACCTACCCGAGCCAGGTAAAATACACACACTCCGATTTATAGTAGTAGTCTCGCTTTCTTCTGGTACATACATTGGGTCTAAAACAAAATAAATTTATCCTTTTATTTAATTATTAAGATTTGCTGATTTTTAAAGAATGACTGATTAATTTATGGATAGGGATTAAGGGTTTTTCACTTTCATATAAGTCGTGACGAAAGTACCAACAAATGATAAAACCAACCAGTTAGTCATCTTAATGTGCTATCGGACAATCCACAATTTGTCACATATGTTCACAAAAATTGCACAACAGGACAACCAGGATATATGTGCAGATTTCTAGGATTTTCGTAAATTGCATACGTTTTCGATATTAATCGCATAAACCAACACATAATCCTGGCTATTTCTTAAATATGTGCGTACAAACTTTTATATATAAATGAACGATCTTGTACATTATTGCTTATTCTAATTGTTTGTTATGGCGTCATGATGATGAGGATTAATTGGTGCATAAGTTATGTAACTCGATGTCATGATAATGTTAAGGCTTGAATATGAAAATGGGGGTGAAAGCATATTTCTGTATTCGTTAAATATCTTTGTAAATAATAAAAGAAAATCATTTTTTTCCATCCTGTAGCATATATGCAGCAAGTCTTGGTCATTAGTTTGTTTAGTAGGTTGCATAATGGTACTGTCTTCTTGAAATTTACCAATTAAATGTCAATCATATGTCGTTAAAAATGACATTTGCGCCGGTCATGTGTTTTGAAATGGACATTACCAAGCTATGAAACACCATCGAAAAAGAATTTCGAGAAAAAAGAGATAGTGATCCTTACTGTATCATTTCTTCATCGTTATGTAGACTTTATTTGGGTTGTAACAAGAACCAGTACAACTAGATCACTGACAGGTCTGCAATGGTCCCGCCACATGCCTGACCATATCTACACGGTCTATTTTAAGTAACAGTAACATTGACATTAAAAACCTTTTAGACCCCTATTGACATTCACATATCACAGTGTAGGCACCAAGTGGTCTGTTTTGAGTAACAGTGACCCTGACCTTAGAAACTTTAAAATTCATATTGCACATCTTTACGTCAAAGTGTATTGTCTTTCGAACTGAAAATTCGAAAATAAGGACTGCACCACATCTACGGTGTACTTTAAGTAGCTTACACATTCAATTTGACACTAGAAATGTTTATTTCTCTATTGCATATCATCATAACACAGTTTATCACTTTGTCGAATTTCAGGAAGATCATTCTTTTAGATTCCGACATTAATCTCCAGAACTAAAGTGTTGACGGATGACAAACAGACAGACAAACGGAATGACACCGTAATAGCTATTACTTAAATCCGATGCCTGGCCCTAATAATATTAGGACGATTTGTACAGTATTATTAAAATCAAGGGAAACACAGAGCTATGCCAAAATGTAAATGATGGAAGGAACTGTAATCGGGGCGAGGTGTTCCGAATGACGTGCAACCTAGTTCGAAATCCCGAGCCATCTTTTTCCTTCTTTTTACCGTTGTTTATCTTTCTATTCAGTGGATCCCCCCTTAGTCATATGATATGTTTTCTATTTTTGGATAACCTTTCATTACCTGTTTTCATATGACCATGATCTTTTGCGACCATGTAAAACCAGACTAGCCAATACTCATTTATAGATACATGGATAATAACCGCTTTGAGACGACCAAAGTGATAAAGCGGTATATAAGAACCTAGAATTATTATTATTATTATCATACAAAAATATATGGTATTTATTTCGTTGATTTAACAATTGAAAGTCTCTAAGCGTACGCTGAACTCACTACACTGACTAAATCCGGATGACATGATGACAGTGCTTCCGTGCTGTCATCATAATATAGGTTGATGTTTATTAGTATAGTAAACTCTTTATAGGGTCAAGCAGTTCCTGTATCTCACAAGTAATATCATATGATTCATCGATGCATGTTTATAAATCGTCTTTAACTCAAGTATGTACGGGGTGTTTCTTCAGGCATGATGATTCGATAATAATCAGTATTTAAGGATTGGTTGTCATATTTTTGACATGCATTAGTGTGTAATATACATTGGCTTACCTACATATTGAATGGTGCGCACCATGTTAAATATGTAGGTAAGCCAATGTATGCTACACACTAATGCATGTCAAAAATATGACAACCAATACTTATATTTACATTTTATGTTAATCAACTAACAGTTCACGCAGAAATATTTTAACGTCAGGGTAAATCCATACAGAGAACAGCCACCAGTTGACAGTGGAGCAGTGCAATCTCCAACGTTACAGTTATGACGTCATAAGCATAGCGACGTCACAATAGCACAATGTATGTTATTTAAGCAATAAATACACTGGTATAACTGCCACATGTGTCACAGACACATGTGGTAGTTATACCAGTTGGTCTGCCACATCTATGCAGTTTATTGCTTATATCTATATTTCCATAATGAGAATTCGCAAAAAAAATATGTCTTTTCCAAATTTCAAATTTCCCGCTTATTACCGTCAGGTCAGGTTAGTATCTAGAACAGCACAAAGATAACAGCTGACGTCATGCGCTATTTCCCATACAAAACTGAAAAAACTCCGCAACTTTCGTTAATAATTCATTTGATTTTGATTTATATATATATCATATTCTCGATTCATAAATAGTAACAAATGACATTTTGTAAGTAACTAATCAAGTGTCGTAAAACATTTTCCGATTTTATTGCGACCTATATCCGGCGCACACACTCAACGGAAGCCCGCGGTAATCAGGTCAGAGTTATATTTGAAGTCCGGCATGTTGTTGATGTTGATCATGCAACCGAAGAATTGGTGAAAAATCCAGGCGTAAAATTGTTTGTTGATCTCACAGACACTTGAGACAGGCAGCTAGTGTTCGGGATCAAATCAGAAGATACCGATAAGTTCGGTAGTGACACTGTTAAGTCGCTCGGAGGTGCAAAGACCAACTTCAGTTATTGTCTCATAAGATGAAGCTGCTATTGGCAGTACTTTAGTAGTAATATAGAAGGGCTTTGCCACACCAAATCTAAATATACGGAAATAACATACATTGGGCCCAGTAGAAACATCTAGGCTCTGTGCAGTGGAAATGTAAATATTAAAAATTATTGCAAACTTGCTATTTCAGCTGTTGTTTCGACTTTTATACCAACGAACTAATTTCTATGTGATTTAGTGCCCAGTACACGTAGTAAGCCTAGCTATACTTTATAAAGCTGACTAATATCTTTCCATTATATCCCTTCAGCACACACACACAGGCAAACATTACACGCATTTAGGCTAACTTCCTATTCCCCATTTGTCTCTTCAAACATAACTCCTAAATTTAATTTTCCATTCAAGTAATTTAGGGGCAAAACCACGATGTAACAATTAGACATTCACAAAACATGAATACATATCAACCAGAAACAAACTATTATGAAGTGTACAAGATGTCAACATATAAAAGTAGCAAACGAATTGATTATAAAGTTTATCATATCTTATTATAAAGATTAATTGAATGTAAATAATCATATATTGATTGCAGAAAAACTGTATCAGATAAACGTTTCATAAAGGGACCGTTATTAAATCTAAATCTGTCACGTATTTGTCTTTAATCAGCGCATTCAATCACAACAATGCTTGACTGTTCATGGTTGATAATTAGGCTGGTCTGCTTCCTTATGTAAAATGTAACTATGTGTGATGCAGGTACGGCCTATGCGTAGTCACGAGAGGACAGCTTTAAATTTCTTCTCTCCTCGTTTCCTCGTAATGAGGTGAAGTGCTGCCTTAGCAGCTCTATATACATTTTTATTTTCATTTAAGTTCGACTGTTCTGAAATCATTGTCTTAAAAAAAGTATTATTATGTAAGAGTTTTGCCAATGCACACAACCAACCAACAAGTTCAAAAGCCCATGCATTCGACCTGAAACCTAGTGGCTTTTCTCTATTCAAAATGTTATTTCCTTGGCTAAGTGAATCTCAGTACAAATAATGTAAAAATGGGTCTTCATCTTTCCTTTAAACACCATTTACTCCCTTATCCCGGCAACGATTCATACAAAATTGAGTAGAAGTCCTTTCAGTCTTTAAACACTTTAAGTCTTTCAATTCAGACAGTATCAAAAATGACATGTGAAAAACCATTATTACTTAATAGTTTTTGAAAAATCTTTAACTAAAATACTTAACACATTTTTTAACACAAGATCATCCAATTTTTGCAGTTTTTGTCCAAAACGGCTACACACGAGGCATAGCACCTTATAATACCTTACAAAATGCACACACCAACTTCTTTAACGTGTAGATTAGATAGATGCGTTGCAGTAATGCCAACATTGAAAAAAGGACTAAAATTTTCATTGTGAATGTCTTTTAGCGAATTATGTAGTAGCTTTAACACTTTAACGGTCAATGGTGGCATTTAATTCTTGGGCAAACACCTTTATATAAAATTCAGTTATACGGATGGTATTGTATAATCCTATGGGAAGCTATCAAATAGTTTGATTATCATGTTTCGGTATTCAATAGTTATAGACAAGACATTTCAAACTTACCCTGGGCCCGATATTACAGCCGACACCTCTGCTATGAGTGCAAGCAGAGAGAAGACAACGATTTTCATTTCATTTATCCTCATCCTGATGATCGGCTACAGGCTCGCCCGCAATACGAACACCTACTGTTCCTGTTCAGATAAACTGAATACTACTACAAGATCAGCAGTTGTCACAGGCTATTGATGTGGGTTAATGAGACATATCGTTTCAGAGCAAATATTACCTGTATGAAGGAACAGTGACACGTGACTTGATTATCCGACAGATGTTAACTGACTTTACAATATTAAATCAAAGGAGATTGCACCATTAGGTGCTATGTCTTCTATAATGTATGTATTATTTATCTTAATAACCGCTAAGGCCATTTAGAACCTGCTTCCAGTGTAAAATGTACGCTTGCCCGTGTGGTTTAGTTTTGTCTTTGTTTAACGTCCTATTAACAGCTAAGGTCGTAACATGTGTTTAGGAGTGCTGGAGGCGGTAAGTTGGTGTATTTGCATTCTTGCGAAAGCGCAGATCTGAAGCCAATATGTAGTGTCATTTCATTGAAATATCATTTCAAAGGTATATCCAACAAATCATTCCATCTTTTCGAATCCTGTTTGACATAAGCTGAAGAATTTCCAATGATTACCTTTCTAATAGAATGTGACGTCACAGTTGTCGAATAGAAATTTTGGAAGTTTTGTTTTTTTGATAGTTAACGTTCATAACGTCACACTCTACACATCGCAAATAATCACCAAAATCTTAATATTTTGTACCATAATGAAGAGTTGTTTGTTCTGTAATGATCTCTGCAGACGCATATGTAATGGCACTACATACTTGATTGTCTTTTCATTTCTCTAATCCAAATTACATGACAACTTTTCTTCTGCCATTTTTTTACCAAAGCATCAACAACAAAGGGTGTAGCTGGAATGATAATCTCCTAACGATCCTTAAACGCATTTGACAAGAGGGTTAAAAACAAAGCATAAATATTTTCAAACATAACGTATCTCGTGGTGACGTCATAACAAACCACTAACATGTAAAACTAGTTATTACATACGTGTACAATATTGTACTTCGTGCAGATATATTCTTCATATAACCACCCACATCAGACGCCTGTGTCACGATCAGTTAGCCATACAGGATAAGCTATTTCATCCGATGGGTGACTGGCAGAAAATGAATATTAACACTGGGGAAAACCGGAAACTTAAGCAGATGAGGGAAGGATAGATACCTTCGTCATTTCCAGCATATCCGACAATATACTATGTATTGTTTCTCACTGATATGATTAATGACAGCCTGTGAGTGGGGCTGTTGTATTTTTGATTTCACAGATATTTAACGATCTCCGTTCGACTACTATAAACTGTACATGTGTGTCAAAACAAAAACTCTGTAATGGTTATAACATTGATAAATCAGTTCTATAAAATATTTTTCGTAGTACTTTATTAATTTTTGTTTTATAAAGTTGAAATGAACAAAACATCTACATCAGTATTCTTAAAATTAAAATGCAACAGAACAAAATCGGGATAGAAGCCCTGGACCTCGGATCAGAATACAGCCTCTCTAAACAAAAAGCGGACCCTGGTCAGCTTTAGTTCCACGGCCCATCCCCATCACTGTAATTTCTAAAACAAAATTAGTGGGAGGTATTGATGTTTGCAAATACATTGAATTTTTCTTACGTTTTGCCTGTATTCAGTACTGGGACATGGATCCTTTATGTTTCAAGATTTAAATAGAGAAAAAAACAGATCACAAGCTAGTAGATATATCCGTATTTTATTAGAAAGTATGTAATAAACAGAATGCAACATGCCTTTTTCCATATCACACCCAATATCAGTTTGATATTGGCCGAGGGATGATACTGGGTGTGATATGGAAAAAGGCATGTTGCATTCTGTTTATTACATACTTTCTAATAAAATACGGATATATCTACTAGCTTGTGATCTGTTTTTCTTCTGAAATACTGAAAAACGAAAAAAATCATAAAAAGGGATGTGATACGGATTTTGCGGGCTGATACGGATTTTGGGTGTGATACGGCGAGGGCTGATATGGGTTAGAGCAATTGTGTCGTATCACATATACAAACAAGACAATGCAAAGCGTGACATTATTCCCCGCGCCCCTTTGTTTAAAAGAAAGACACACAATCATATATATATATATATATATATATATATATTAATAGATTATATACTCAGTGTTTTCTCATTGCGGCTACTCAAGTATAGTAAAACCTGTCCATGAGATAGACCCATTCCGCTATAAATGCAACATTAGAGGGGGTGTTTGTATTCTTTACAAATCTTGTCTAAATGTTCAAGAGATTGTTACTGATAGTCCTCGGATTGTAGGTGCTGAAATTCAAGAGTCTGATAGTAACTATATTTTTGTCTTTTCTGCATACATGCCAGCATCATCAAGGCACTTCGATGTTTTTAAGGAAACCCTAGACATATTAGAATCTCTTGTGGCCGTGTACTCGGAGAAAGGGAAGGTTATCATCATAGGTGATTTAAATGTAAAAATTAGTGGTCCACGTTATCATTTCTTACATAATGAAAGATCAGCTTTGTTCAAGATGTTTTTAAAGAGAAATAATTTACTCTCGGTAAACGTACAGACTGAATGTAAAGGTCCTAAATATACATTTTGCCCTGTCACTGGGAACTGTACAATGATTGACCATATCCTTGTCGAAAGTAGGATAGTAGATTTAGTAGAATGGTCTGAAGTCCTGGATGAATGTGAAGTTAATACTTCAGAACACCTTCCTGTTTTGTGTTCTGTGGGGACTCCTAAGATCCAATCCAAACAATGTAATGATGAATTTGTGAGGTATAACTGGCGTAAAGCTGTAAATAGTGGTCAAATACAAAGCTACAAATACATTGTTGATATTTACCTCAGTTCAGTAGCTTTTCCTCAAAATATCACGTCGACCCTAGAAATTGATACATATTATGAGGCTCTAAAATCTGTTTTGCTAAATGCATCAAAACGCTGCATTCAGAAATGTAAATTTCAGAGACATCTAAAACCATATTGGAATGATGAGTTGACAAATGTTCACCATCTGATGGTTAGTAAAAGGAAATTGTGGAAAGACAACGGCCAATGTAGAGGTAATGATGTTTATTTTTTAGACTATAAGTCATGTAAGAATGTTTTTAGAAAGAAGCTTAGAAATGCTTTTAACGAGTATATGAGACTTCAATTTGAAGAAATTGATCAATCAGGTGAAGTTGACCAAGTATTGTTCTGGCAACTATATAAAAGTAAATCACATAAACCCAAGTTGAAACAAACAGAACTGAAGTATGACGGTCGGGTCCTACGTGACCCAGAAGGAATAGTAAAGGCATGGGGTACCCATTTTTGTAAATTGTTCGAGAACGAACCTAACGAACTGTTCGATGTAGACTTTTTTAATCATGTTCAAGATTATTTACCGAACATGACAGAAAAAGCGAAAACTGATAAAGATGTTTTTCTAGAAAAAGAATTTACTTTTAAAGAGGTTTCTGAAATATGTAAAGGTCTCAAGACAAAAAAGTCTGGTGGTCCGGACGGTCTTGTGTATGAGCATATTAAATACTGTAACAGTCTAATGATCAAACATATTACATTTTTGTTCAATCTCATTGCTAAGTATGAATATATTCCCAAATCATGGAAACTTGGTACAATAATCACTCTGTATAAAGGTAATCGGAAACCAAAAGATGACCCGAACAACTATAGGGGTATAACATTAATTCCTGTGTTTTTCAAGATTTTTGAGACACTCTTGTCCGACCGTTTAAGTCCAGTCCTAGAATCATACACATTTCCGAACAGGCATCAATCAGCATATCGCAAAAAACTGTGTAGTTTATGTACCTCTTTTAATCTACAGGAAAGTGTAAACTATAACCTAGATAATGGATCTGATGTGCTTGTCGCTTTTCTTGATAGCAATAAAGCCTTCGATACTGTATGGCAAGATGGCCTATTCTATAAGCTTTACAATATGGGTATTAAAGGGAAAGTATGGAATATCATGAAACTAATGTATTCTCGATTTACCAGTAATGTTGTTTTTAATGGTCTCAAGTCGGACAATGTAATCATGAAACGGGGAATCTTACAAGGTGGGTCTTTATCCGCAAAACTGTATTTAGTCTTTATTAATGATTTGCTAAATGAAGTGGAATTTAGCGGGAAAGGGGCAATAGTTCTTTCCTCGCGAATAAATATACCTACACAAGCTGATGACATATGTATTATCAGCAATAACGTTAATAGTTTACAGTATCTACTATCTATTTGCGAGAAATACAGTAGAAAGTGGAGATTTACATTTTCCTCTACTAAATCTAAAACTGTTGTTTTTACTTCTAAAAAGAAACCCAATATTAATTGTGATATAACTGTATATGGAAAGAAACTACCAATTGTAGAAAGTATTACTCATGTCGGAGTTTTATTGAATAGTAGAAATAACAATGTCGAACGTACAGAACGTGCTTGTTCCAAATTAAAGAGTGGTGTTATGTCCTTAATTCGTTCTGGAGCACATCCATGTGCTCTGAATCCTTTAACCACTGCAAAAATTGTAAAGTGTAAAGTATATCCCTCAGCACTGTATGGGTGTGAATTGTGGCAATTAAAGCAAAATGAAATTTACATGTTAGAAAAAGCACAAAACTTCATTGTCAAATCAATCCAAGGTTTTAATGTAAGAACAAGAACAGATATGTGCACGTCCTTGATTGGTTGGTTTTCTGTAGAAGTATACATCAGCGTAAAGAAAATGTTATTTTTTGGTAGAATATGTTCCATGGAAGTTGGCTGTTTAACACGCGAAATTCTTATCAAGCGTCTATTCGAATTCAACCTGTCTCAATTTAGTAGAGGTTTTGTTCCCGACATTGTTAATGTTTTACAAAAATACAATTTGTATCATTTTATTGATGAATTTTTGAAGAGTGGTGTATTTCCAAACAAATGTCAATGGAAGCGTTTAGTCAATGACCATGTAAAAAACTATGAACAGTTTAACTTATGTGAAAGAATGAACGCTGATAGGGACTTCTCTCGCTTCACTCTTTTACATAATAAGATACAACCGTATGCTATATGGAAACTTGCTTTACGCTTTCCACAATACAGTCCATGTTTTAAGAAAATTGTTAAACTTTGTGTTGAAATGCGCGATAATGAAAATATATATTTGTGTCATTACTGTGGATCTATGTACAAAGATACTATTATGCATAGTGTACTCGAATGCTCACACACAGAGCTATTACGTGACCAGCTCTGGTGTGTACTCAGTACTGTAAAAGATATAGATTTTGTGTTTAATCTTAATGTAATGTCTAATTACCATCTACTTCATGTTCTTCTTGGTGGTATTTTCAATTATGACTTATCTCCATATGAACTGGAGGACTTTAGAATAAAATCCATTGTTATTATTACTAAAATTCTTCAATACAGTGGCATTATGTAATTTATCCTTAGATATTTGAATGTTGTATACTGAGTAATATGATCACTAATTTACTTGTGTGTACCTCACGCTTCAGCAAGATGAATACATGAAATACATATATTTTTGTATTCATATTAGTAGGCAAGCATTTCCTACGTCTTTCCTGTTGATTAGTGCAACTTACTACCATTCATAATATTGTTTGTATTGTATGAATTAATCTTGTGAGATGTATTACTACAACTGAAATCATTGTATGGTTGCGCTGTTTCTTCAAGTTAATTATTATATTGTATGTTGTGTATTTCACACCACTGTATGACTATGTTGTATGACTTCGTGCAACGGGTTCTACTCAATGTATGATTGTATTGTAAGACTTATGTAACAGTAATACTGTCTATAATAATGCTGTATAATTTATAGTGTGATGCTTGTAATACTGTTTATTACAATGTTGTATGATTGCTTAGTACGAGAAGTGGATTACTGTCTATACTATTATATGATAATGTAGTCTGAGGAGTGTAAATATGTCTATTATATCAATGTGTGATGTAATATATGATTAGTGTTATACTGTCTATCATCATAATTATCACCGTATAATGACTGTAATAGTACCTATTATATCATTGTGTTGTGTTTATAGTACTTTATGGTATGATGCGTGTACTATTATTATTCTCTTATGTGTGTGTCTGTCCATGTGCATGTGTGAGTCACTATGTCAGGGTGTGACCATGATTGTGAATGCATTTTCTTCTCTTTTCAATAGTGTTTTGTTCGTTATTTCTGTAACTCTTCGTTTTTGGAGGAAATAAAGGAAATAATAATAATAATGAACAGCTAAGGTCATTTAAGGACGTACCTCCGTGTGTGTAGTGTATGCGTGCTTGCGTGTGTGTATGCAAGAGACAGGGTGTGTTGCAAGATAGAGTATCATCACGCATGTGAGGTGTCATCTGCCGACTTTCCCGACGCGGACTAAAAGCTCATAGATACGGAAGTAACCATCACGGTCCGTCCTGGGTTTTAGTGTGTCCCCAAAACGGTCAAGCTGAAATTAAACCGATAACCCATGGGCGAATATCAATGTCTTTTTAGTTACATTGACGTTTTCCTTTGCCTATTTGACCTTACAAGAAAACCACGAGATAGCATTTTCGATATGAGGCAATGTGAGATTTGTTCGTACTTGTTCAGACAATGGAGGTGACAAACGTCCTTATAATTTCTTCTCTGGTCCCATTCGGGGAAAGGAGTCTCTTTTACCAGAAGTTAGATTACTGCGTAATTCTGTCAGACGTCGAGTTTGGTTGAACACGACTATCAGGGAGAGTGGAGTGACCACATCCGATTAATAAAGTTATATAAGCAACGGGCCGTAACATCTCAAATCATTGTTTGACTCATGATCAAGTATATACATTTTTAATACTCTAAAACTTTTAAAACGAAAGACAATTCGTTACTCAAATCAACAATAATTTCACAACGCAACATTTGTCACACGTGTATTCATTGTCTATCTATTCAAGGGGTCACTTTAGTTTTCATATCAATGATATGCCGTCGTTACCGGACATAGCACTACCTCTGTACATAGTATCCTGAAAACATGCGAACCCGTAGTACCTAGGGAGACCGCGAGAAGAGAAAGAACAAGTAGATAGGAAGAGGAAACTGGGGAACAGATCTTTCTTGGATTGTTCTGAATCCGCTGAGAAGTGGGAGAAGAAGCAAACCAAGGTTCTGTAAGCAGCTCCTATACTGCTAAGGGGCTAATGGAGACACCAATATGAGTGAGAAAAAGAACAAAATTAGAGGATCCAAAGGTCGCAACTGGGGCAGCAGATCAATCATGGTTTTTACATTGTTCATAAGTAGAAGATGCAGAAGAATAACCTCGATTCTACACACACACACACACACACACACACACACACAAACTCTCTCTCTCNTGTTCCTACCTTCGACAAAACAGACAAATATATTGCACGGATAAATACATTTGAACATGAGCGGTACACGATATAAACGTACTTTTCAACGAAATTATGTCATTTGTACAAACAACACCTTTCCGTCCGTGTTATCCAATATATATAGTTACGATTGAAATGATCTCGTGTAAGAGATCTACATATAAGTTCGTTGCTCAATCAACTAGAACGATGATAAGTAAAACCAAATTAATCATGTAACAATAACAACAGACATCATCATAAACAGTTAAGTTACATTTGTATTATTATTATCACATGTACATGCATAGCGCCCAATCAACACAGGATAGGTCATTATGGCTAACAAATGGTCGACAAAAACAAATGGAATATATAAACATAAACTTAAAGGTAAAAGACAACGTCAATTTTATCATTGACAGTGGCTATGGTGACTCATATTTTATTGAAAAGATCAGCAGCTTTCAGATAGCCTTAAATTGTAGAGACAGTTATTTTTTCGAAAAGAAAATTAGACTTGTAACAATATTCGGTATAACGGAATGTTTCTGTACAAAAGGTCAACAGAGATATCCCACATGCATGTCAGTGGGTGTAAAACCTTCGCTTCTTTCTACAAATATCAGGCTTGATGCACGTGTTAATATTCTCATACAACATGTTAAGTGTTAATATTGCGCTTGCTTTAAGATTGAAATTCACTATTAAATTCCGCCCAAACGTCCGACATGTAATGATAGATATGTTCAGCATATTTCCAGTAGCCGGAATTGTTTTCCAGTCGTTTGAAATGCATTAGATTTCTTCATGATTTCCAGCGACGACTTAAAGGGACGTCACGTGAAAAGGCGTGTTTTTTTTTAATGAATGTAAGTATTGTATGCACTTCCACTTATGTTACAACGCTATCCCCATATTCATAGTCCGTTCCAAATGTCCAGTTTGACCACTTGAATTGTTCGGGAAAGCCCTGCTAAAAATAGCGCCGATAACGTCACCTGAATAGGCAGTAAACACAAGTGGTGCGAGCGAGATGAAACGGTTTCCAAAGAGGCCGACAGAGAGCGGCCGTCAGGCAACTGCAACTTCTTACCGCACTATGAAACCAAGTTATATGATTTCTAAGTCCGTATTTAAACTTATTGAACAGTAACTATTCATCATTAGAAGTTAATTGCACACTTGCCAATATTCAGAATTTAAATTTATTTAGCTTTAAACATAAATTTGTTGCCAATAAGATTAAACAAGGGATGGGGCACACATTTTTACAATTTATCATAGCCTTCTCCCGTCATACATTTACAATTAAATGTCAACAATGATAATAGGCATACACATAAAGTAGATATATTTAAATACATATTGAATTTAGTACCGGAATGTGGCTGGTACAGATGGTACGTGGCTAAACACCTTCCCTACACCAAGGGACAAACCTTTCTGATTTTTTTTTTTTTGTTGCCGGGGCAGAGGAGGCCGGATATTCATATTAGTACTAATTTCAATCTTGCATGTAAAACCAAAAATAATCGTTTAATTCAGCAATATAATAAAATCATACCATTTTATTGAACCCGGTAATATTATAAATTATGTAAATCCACGGACTTCGATAACACGTATCTCGGTGACCCAGAAAATACGCCGTGGGCCATCACAACAGTTATCCCTTAGAGGGCCTCATGGAAAAATCAAACTAACCAGTCACTTATCCCTTCCTTTCGCATAAACCACTGTATAATTATAGAAACACAAAGTAAACTCTGTCCAATACATGCTTATTAAAATATTAAACTAAGTTCATCTGTGTTCAAACTCAGACAAAGATACTAGCGAGCTTAATAGTTTTAGATATGTATTCATAACATAAACAGCGCTAGCATTTCTGTCGATTCCATTTCAGCTTTACCGGCTATCCGGAAGAATACATGCACCGTACTAACTGCTACGGCAGTTATTTTCTCCTTTAAATACTGCCCACCTGCAATAATGATTCCGTAACGTACTCCTTGCGCTATCTTTTGACCATTTGGCAACTTTTCGTTTCGTAGCTGACACGGTACAACACTTTTCTTTCGCTTACTAGTACTTCACACGGCCAGTCATTTTGTTTACAAAGAAATGGTGTGCTATGCGCATGCGCTAGTAGAGGAAAATCCCTGAACAAAACGTTAGTCATCAGACAGGTAGAAATACCGATGATTTTCTTAGATTTTATCATTTTTATGAATCTATTTCAGCCAAATCCGATCGTTATTTTCCATAAGGAGTCTCACTTGTTATGTTTATGTAGTATAAAGTTACTTCACCGTGATGCCCCTTTAACAATCAGGGTTAAATAAGATACGGTGTGTAAAACCTAGCGGGATGCTTCGTCCAACGGACTGAACATTGGAAAACAGACTACTTAAAGCATTCTGAAATATCTATTAAAAAATTCCATACGGCAATGATGCAAAGGCTTAAGTTTTGCTATACCTCTTATCAGGCGATCTTAAACTAGGTTATCATACAGGACATCAGATAAGTTGTTCGTAGATTTAGGGAAAGTAAAAGTTAGCCTAGATCATATTATTTCTTACTAGAAATGTCGGTACAAGAATTGTCAATACTACGTTTATCAATTGTGGCTTGTATATTCCTTACCTTAGAATCAACAAGTGCACCGTACGGAATATTAGCTATCCAGGGGGACGTTGACAACATTGTGACATTGGCAAGGGCTTTAGGCGCAACAACGTTTGTTTCATACCTGACTACCACTGGCTTAAACACAACGCTTGCTGGACAGGGTAAATATCGGACAAATTATCTGAATTATTATATGAATTTAATATCAGAAAGTTGAGCCAGACAATCAAAGTGTTGATGTTTGCTTAGAGAAACATTGTGTCAGGATTAAGCTTAGGGATTATATGTTAGTTGAAATGAACGATCATTACAAGATCTGCCATACATCATCATGCATGTACCATTGCAAAATTTCGATAGAATCACAATATTTTTACAGCAGAAAAAGCAGTAATGCCTCGTGAGACATCACTGTAAATATGGTTAATTGTGTAGGAATAGAACAACGATAAAAGTTAACGCACTGATTGGTTGTCTTCGGTTTTTCCTAATACGTAAATGAAGGAAACCTGGTACATAATACATAGAATACATTGATGGACATAGTACTCACATAATATGACACATGATACAATTCATACAATAACAACCCATTTCAATAATTCTTTTAGCTAAATTATTTTAGATATTAAGTAGCTTCATTACTCTTTGTATAAATTTACTTACTTTTGTTAAGAGTACCGTGTTACAAATTGAGAACATTCCTTTCATTTTGATATAAGTTGGGTTGACATAATAATAATTTGGTATATAAAGTTGTCTAAGAGCTACAACAGATACATTAGTACATTGGTATAAGTAGTGGTATTCGTCCCCAACACAGTTATTACATAGGGGACATAACCTTTCCTCGCGTGGGACTCTATTCCATCTTCCTGTTTCTATAGGAAATTTTATATTTGATGTTCTAAATTTACATATTACTTTTCGTTCATTACGATTTAGCTTTAAAAGATATGGTTCAATATTAAACTGAAATTTGAATAAGGAGTAAACTTGCCCTCGCGAGGAGGTTTCAACATCATGAAACCAACTTTGAATGAATTGATCGCATAATCTCTGCTTAATGATATTTTTCAAGCATTGTCTATTAATTGTACATGATATTTGGAAAGTCCATAAATTATTAAATCCAGTATTGTNATGCCCCGCCCGGTCACATTGTTCTGATAACGCGTTAACCAGTTGTTGCCATTTGCCTAAATGCTGAATGTTTTAAGGACTTTGGTATGTCCCGCCTTCGGAACAAATTAGCCCATCGTTGTTAACTTTACCCTTATGCTGCATGTTAAACAGGGAATAACAGTTGTTACCATTTTAATGACCTTTGAAGTCCTCTGCATGGGGCCAGAACCGAATCGATTGCCTTCCTCACCTTGGCAAACGTTCATCGTGAAAACCGAAAGTGAGTTAATGCCAAGCGAGGCGCTAGAAAACGAAGGACAACAAAAGCTTACTTACTCGAAATTACGACTTACTATCTCAAAATTTCAAGATAATAACTCAAAATTTCAAGAAAATAACTCGGAAAGTTCAAGATAATAACTCGAAATCTCGACTTAATAATTCGAAATTCCAAGATAATAATAACTGTTGAAATCAGAATCTCTTCAATCTGGATCTTTGTGTAAACCGGCAAACGTATTTGGTCTTTAATTCTTTAGCTTTATTGATTAAACTTCAAACTCATTCTGTTAACCGGCTCTGTTTCCTTGTCTTATAACTTCTTAACATTAATAAATAAACTCTCTGTGAACCGGCAACAGAACACGTTCTAGCCTAGTACAGCCCTTATCACTAGACAGGAAAGTTAACAGTTGACCAATCATTTTCAGCTCTTCCGGATATCATAATACATTATCTTTATAATATTTTTTTCATATCGATGGCGATAATTGAAATGATAAACGAATATTTCTTGTGAATATCATCTTTTTCCTATATAATTTTTGTTGGTGAAAGTTGAAAATGAGCAGAACTAGAGCAGAAAGTGATGTAGATTAAAAGAAAGAATGTTAAATACTGTACATGTATAGAGAGTATGAGACCGGGAAACCAAAGCAGGTGTATTAGTCCAGTATTAATCAATGATGTAAAATAGTTAAAGTCCAAATAATTTGGCCGGTTTGCACAAAGATCCGGACTGGGCAGAATCTGGTTAAAATAAAATCCAAAGTACATCCAACTGTGTTAAATTATTAAGCTTTAATACATTTTAAAATGCCTAAGATTTCACCAAAACTCTTCTAGATTTCAATTATAGGTCATTTGACCCTTCTATAGGGGCTTTGTGCTTTAGGCGAAACCAGTATATCTGCACTGACTATGCATGCTCAAATAAAAGAAAACAATAGAAACTAAAATATTCATCTACAGTCGAACCTCGCTATCTCAAAGTCGACGGGGTCGTGGAAAAACTTCGAGTTATCCGAGTATTCGAGTTATGCGGGTTTATAAATTTGGTATGAAATGCTGTTGGACATAGCACTAACAGTTGTTGATTTTATTAATAACCAATGCTTATAATCAATCGATGAATGATATACGTAATCAATATAACAAATACAGGTATGTAATTTTACAATAAACACGCTTACAAAAATATTGTAGAGTGATTTATTTCCGAAAAACGTACTTTCGTTTAACGCGATCAAAACGGTAGGACCATAGTGTGAATTCGTTATTAAATATGGACGGGCCTAGTGATTAAATGTTGTTTTTGACTAGGTTAGAACTTGGCAAAGTCTTTCCATGTCTGCATTTGTATTTGCAAGTCCGTCAAGTTTTACTTCTGAAGTGTTACATTTAAAAATCGAACTATCCCGCTGTGTTCGTCCTCGTACTATATAATGCGGAAATGAAAGTGCGCAAGTCTAAAACCAATTACTGTAATGGAGCTTACGGATAGTTGATTCTGTAAATGAAAACCCAAACATAATATATCGTACATGTAACTAATTAATTCATTAAAGCTAAATATGACACCTGACACCGTCTCAACTCGATGTAATCAACAGCAATTATCGTATTGTTCTTAAATCTCTCGATCGACTTTCAAAGCCATACTGGCTCCTGTAAAAACATGAACTTGTGAAGCTGTCTTAGGTTGTAATTTTAACTGTGGAACTCTTTTATGCATGACCACGCTTTGTGACCAATTTCCCGGTTTGCACTGTCGTCTGTTTGGGTGAACAACTCATTAAACGGACTCGCAGGAAGTACAGAAAACTGTTGATCAACATTGATGAAGTTTGTTTTTTATTATAAACATCATGGTTTTGACAGTCCGCACACTTTACAGTCTGAAGCATTATCGTAAAATCTTTTTACGGATTAGTCTACTCGCGAAAGATGTTGATAAACACGAATGGCGAGATGTCGTACGGTTGCATTTTATTTGCATCAGAAAATTAATAGGTGACAAAATGAAATTCGAACACTATGAGGTAGACGATGTTTTGATGTTGGATTTACGCTATTGAAACCAATATCTTACTTCGAGGTATCCGAGTTTTTCGTCTTTTCAGGGTTCGAATGATCAGAGTTTTATTTACTAAGATAAAGAAGAGACTTGGCCGGGACCGGTGAAATACTAAGATATTAACGGGGTCTTCGAGTTAAAAGAGTTCGAGATAACGAGGTTCGACTGTATTTGTATTCCTACAGCTTCGGGAGGTATAGCTCCCCTCCCTCCCCCTAAAGCCCCACCGTTGCTTCGCCCATGGACCACCTTCTGAAAATCCTTATCTTGAAATTTCGGGTTATTAAGTCGAAATTTCGAGTTATTAACATGAAAAAACTATGGGTTTTTAACATGGCCCTAATGCTCCTCCGTAGGTCCGCGCTATCGCAAAGAGGCATATTTATTTACCATTTGGTTTGGTTTGGTTGAATTTTGTATAACGTCCTATTAACAGCTAAGGTCATTTAAGGACGTGCCTCCATGTGTGTAGTGTATGCGTGCTTGCGGATCTGATGCCGACTTTAAACTACTATCTCACTGAAATACCATGTCGAAAGCACCCAGCACAGCTTTCCGCCCGGTCACATTATACTGACAACGGGTGAACCAGTTGTTGCCATTCCCCTTAATGCTGAACGTTAAGCAGGGAATAACAACTGCCATTTTTAAGGACTTTAGTATGTCCCGGCCTGGGGACAGAACCCATTGCCTACCTCACATGGGCGAACGCCAAAAGTGGGGTGTTGCCGAGCAAGGCGCTAGTAGTAAATGAAAGGTAGTCAGTTGTAGAAAGTAGAAAAAAAGATAAAGATCCCAAATATTGCAATGGGTGCAGCAGATTTATTTTGGTTGCTTTTTGTGTCTCAGATAGAGGACACAAAAGCAAATCCCCAATTCTGCAGGGGGTTCCAAAAAACTGTCTCCAGTTCACATACTCTATTGCATACATGTCTTACATATATGGAAGCACGTTAATAGTACGTTAAACCAAATAAAAATAAATCTTGTCAAACCAAGAATGTTTTCAATAAGAGCACACCTCCCTAACCCAGTCATACTTTTTTGAAATGGAAAGAGCTGTCCTTCTTAGGACAGTGAGGTAAACAGACTAAAAATAATGGTTTGATTTTATCAGATAGAGGAAATATTGATTTATTTAGTCGATGTTGACACCAAATTGTACGATAAGGAACACGGAACCATGAAATATTAAAGTACCGTTTGTGATCAAAATTGAGTTGGCATTGTGGAATGCTTTATATATATGTATTATTTATTGGTACATGTATATTATGTCAGTCGACATTATACGACCTTACTTGTTGCAACAGTATAAGGACAATTAACTGCACTGTGTTCTGATACATGTAAAGGCAACTCTGTATATAGAACAGGTGATGATAAGGATTTTGTTTTACCAGGGCCATTCACTGTGTTCGTGCCAACAAACGATGCTTTTGAAAATCTTTCTGATGACATGAAAGATAACTTTAATGATACTGAATTCGCAAGGACTACACTTAAATATCACATTACTTCCGGTCGCCATTACAAGTCGGAGTTTCAAGACGAAGAAATTCTGATCAGCCAGGATAAAGATTTGCCTATCAGAATTAATCTCTATAAGGGAGGCACGGTAAGGACAATGTATCTTTTTAAAATGTACACTTGATAATGTTGAGCAGTATAATCGAAATAGACAATGAAGCAGTATTTTTATCAACATAATGAATATGTCTAAATATTTGAAAACATCTATTAAAAATTTGCCTCGCGATTTTCTGTGGCTTTATGACATTCATTTGAAAGTATGATGAGTTTGAGGAATGTATCTGAACCTTGTACAACACTAATGCAACGAATGACCTTTGCATTGAAAGCAGGATTAGGATTGTCGACAGTTTGTGGTCCTGCAACACTGCTATTTCTATATTGCTTACCAACTGGAATATATCATGTGTTGATCTTGACGTTAAGATTATTCTTCGTTTGTGCATTGTCTATCACTGACAACTAAAACCGCGAATGTTCCCATTAAACTAATCATTCCTTCCCTTTCGTAAAATCTTTGGTCCTGGTACAGTTGTGTCACGTCAAACGCACCAAAAATAGTGTGCGCACATAGCGCATACATCGTGCACGCACCGTCCGCACAACTTTCGTTCGCCCGGTTGTGCGCTTCTTTCCGCACAACTGTGCGATTTGGTACAATTTGTTGATCAATATTACGAAATAAAAACATACGGAAGGCGTGTATGCAAAAATGTACAATATACAAATGTATATATATTAATTTCTCATCACAGCAATTAAGATTATGTACAGTTTTACAGTGTGTGTTACACAGCATTACAGTGACCGTTACATTGTCAGGAATGGGTTTGGCTCCAAGGTAACAGAACAGTTAAAGAAGATATTGATGAGGTGGCCAGAGTTTTACCTGGCCTGTGCCTGACACAGAGCGCTGATATATGAAACCGTATGACCATTATAAAAACGCAACTGAACGCTAAGAATTTGTTGTATTCGGTTTGGTCTATAGCGCCCCTTCGCCTGGATTTTCACACCTCGACGAGCTACGTAAGTGCCCCAGGTGAGGTAAACTACGGTCCAGGTACTTGTACAAAGTGGCTTTGTTTACCTATATATGGGACCTTGTCCATGTTTGTTGTACATTTTTCATGTGTCGATTCAGGAAAACATCATTTCTAAATATAAAAAAGTCTAGATAGAAAGATAAGCTTAAAGATGTAGATAGAATATTGAAACATACTTAAAAAATCAATTTTGTATGTTTAAACACGAAACCGTATATATTGTTAAGCCATTCCTCAATTTACTCCAACCACGAAAATTATCGCACAACGACAGTCCACACACTGTGCAGACATCTTGCGCACACCGCACATCGTGTAACGTTGTGCGATCCCACAACTATACCTTTGCTTAGTTTTAACCTTTCGAGTAAGGGCCACTTAAACTATTCTTTGAGTTGCCAAACTTTCAATGCATGTCAATGTTTGAACGGTACCCTGACTAATTACAGGGCTATTTTTCTTTTCGCGTAACTTCTGGACTGTTGAATCCTGTGACTGTATGCATAATGTCACATATTGTATATTTGGCTCAGATAATATGAAATTAACAAAATTTATATCAAATATGCATACATTATTTTTGGACTATAACCTCTAATCAAAATACAAGGTACAGATTTGACTAATGTTAAACAATAATCTATCACTACGATTATTTGTCAAATTAATTAAGCTACATTTTGTACGACATGTTTCATTGTTCAAACGAAGTATTTGCTTAAACGTGATGTGGTGAGGTGGTATACACCTTGTAAATGTGTCGATTTGAAGGCACGGTAGTCTAGTGGTAGGACGCCGGGCTCGTGACCAAAGAGTTGCGGGTTCGAGTCACGTCACGGCACTATGTTGTATCCTTGGACAAGATACTTTACTCCGCTTGTTCCAGTCTACTCAGCTGTAAATGTGTACGTGGTTGGGTAGTGCTAGAATTGTAGAATACTAGCTGTGAGCGCCGAAATAGCAGCATCGGCTGTATACTCCGCAGGGAGTAAGAAAAGATATTGGCTGGTTGCAAAGGCCCTATAACCACGGATAATAATTTGTGAACCGCTTGAAGACGACCTACGAACTATATATAATTATAATTATTATTATAAATATTGCACTAGAACCAATAGAAAAGAATAACAAAGTTCAGTATATCTAGGCATAGTTTTATATTATCTATTGTGTCAATATACATTTTTGAGGTTCTGACGGCTTCCGGATGTGCTGTGTCCCTTACCGACATCAATGCCACAAATGGAGTGCTGCACTTGGTGGATCGCGTCATGGTGATGACCCCAGAGTTTGGAAGTGTTTCCGGACTTTTGAGCTTTCCAATATTCCGTTTCATGTATTATGGGATGATAGATGGAAACATGACGGGGCTTCTTTCAGGTATGGATACACTTCAAGTATGGGTATGGATAAAAGGTCAGGTATGGGACACTTTTAAATGGATACACTTCAAGTATGGATACACGTTCAGGTATATATAGACTTGCAGGTATATATACACTTTGAAACATGGATACACATTCTTGTATGGTTATTTGGTTTGGCATTGTTAGGTTTTATTTGGTCAATTAAAGACGATGCTCCATATGCGTAATGTATGCCGTCTTGAATGTATGTGTGCTGGCTGTGGTATATTGTTGTACTTGTTTCCTAGCAATAGCGCTGAGCTGATGCCGACTTTAGAGTGTAACTGTTCAGGTAAAGAACTGCTTTCAGATATAGATACGCTTTCATGTATCGATACATTCTCAGGTATGAACACAACTTCAAATATAGATAAAAGTTCCGGTACGAATACACGTTTAGGTATTCATACCATTTGTGGTTTGTATACACTTTTAGGTAAGTCTGATATGGATACAGTATTATAATGGGTAATGAACGTAATAAGACAGGGACATTTTGTTCAGGCCCAATAATTACTTTCACTGATAGTACATGTTAGTTTTATTTTCATGACAAATCAAACATCTTTAGAACTGTTTTTGATATCGAATGCTCTTTTTCAATTGTGTGTGTTTTGCTTTTTTGTGACTTTAAGAACAAATAACTCATTGTGCATCAACGCTTCTGTTTATTTGTAATATTTGATTTTATTTCAACACCTATGTTTACCTTTTTGAAGGACATGCTCCTATCACAGTGTTTGCTCCTAACGATGCAGCCTTCCAAAAGCTTCCTCCAGACCAGTTCAAGAAATTATACAAGAATGGCACTGCAATTCGACGTGAGTATCATTTTGGGCACAGTAGTGAGGTGTTTGTGGATTGCTGTGATCTGTTTGGAAGAGAGTGGGGTGTCATATGTGTCTTTTAAGGTTGTTGTGTTTTGAAGCCGTAGATGATTTGATGAGATGATTTGATGTGGGTATTCTGGCAGCTGTAGATGCTTTGATGTGGGTGTTCTGACAGCTGTAAATGAGTTGATGTAGGTGTTCTGGCAGCTGTAGATGATTTGATGTGTGTGTTCTGGCAGCTGTATATGATTTGATGTAGGTGTTCTGACAGCTATAGACGATTTGGTGTGGGTGTTCTGGCAGCTGTATATGATTTGGTGTGTGTGTTCCGGCCGCTGTAGATGATTTGATGTGGGTGTTCTGACAGCTGTAGACGATTTGATGTGTGTGTTCTGGCAGCTGTAGACGATTTGATGTGTGTGTTCTAGCAGCTATAGACGATTTGATGTGGGTGTTCTGGCAGCTGTATATGATTTGATGTGTGTGTTCCGGCCGCTGTAGATGATTTGATGTGTGTGTTCTGGCAGCTATAGATGATTTGATGCAGGTGTTTTGGCAGCAGTAGATGATATGGTGTGGGCGTTCTGGCAGCTGTAGATTATTTGATGTGTGTGTTCTGGCAGCTGTAAATGATTTGATGTGGGTGTTCTGGGAGCTGTAGATGATTTGATGTTGTGGATGTTCTGGCAGCTGTAGATGAAATTGATGCTGTGGGTGTTCTGGCAGCTGTATATGATTTGATGTTGTGGGTGTTCTGGCAGCTGTATATGATTTGATGTTTGTGGTGTTCTGGCAGCTGAAGATTATTTGATGTGTGTGTTCTGGCAGCTGTGGATGATTTGATGTAGGTGTTCTGGCAGCTGTATATGATTTGATGTTGTGGGTGTTCTGGCAGCTGTAGATGATTTGATGCTGTGAGTGTTCTGGCAGCTGTATATGATTTGATGTTTGTGGTGTTCTGGCAGCTGTAGATGATTTAATGTGTGTGTTCTGGCAGCTGTGGATGATTTGATGTAGGTGTTCTGGCAGCTGTATATGATTTGATGTTGTGGGTGTTCTGGAAGCTGTAGATGATTTGATGTTTGTGGTGTTCTGGCAGCTGAAGATTATTTGATGTGTGTGTTCTGGCAGCTGTGGATGATTTGATGTGGGTGTTCTGGCAGCTGTAGATGATTTGATGTGGTTGTTCCGGCAGGTGTAGATGGTTTGATGTTGTTGGTGTTCTGACAGCTGTATATGATTTGATGTTGTGGGTGCTCTGGCAACTGTAGATGATTTGGTGCGGGTGTTCTGGCAGCTGTAGATGATTTGGTGTGGGCATTCTTGCAGCTGTAGATGATTTGGTGTGAGTGTTTCGGCAGCTGTAGATGATTTGGTGTGGGCGTTCTGGCAGCTGAAGATGATTTGATGTGGTTGTTCCGGAAGCTGTAGATGAATTGGTGTGGGTGTTCTGGCAGCTGTAGATGATTTGGTGTGGGTGTTTTGGCAGCTGTAGATGATTTGATGTGGGCGTTCTTGCAGCTGTAGATGATTTCGTGTGGGTGTTTCGGCAGCTGTAGACGATTTGGTGGGGGCGTTCTGGCAGCTGTAGATGATTTGAGGTGGGCGTTTCGGCAGCTGTAGACGATTTGGTGTGGGCGTTCTGGCAGCTGTAGATGATTTGAGGTGGGCGTTTCGGCAGCTGTAGACGATTTGGTGTGGGCGTTCTGGCAGCTCTTGATGATTTGGTGTGTGTGTTCTGGCAGCTCTAGATGATTTGGTGTGGGCGTTCTGGCAGCTGTAGATGATTTGGTGTGGTTGTTTCGGCAGCTGTAGATGATTTGATGTACAATGTAGGTGTTCTGGCAGCTGTAGATGATTTGATGTTGGTGTTCTGGCAGCTGTTGATGATTTGGTGTGGGTGTTCTGGCAGCTGTAGATGATTTGGTGTGGGTATTCTGGCAGCTGTAGATGATTTGGTTTGAGTGTATCGGCAGCTGTAGATGATTTGGTGTGGGCGTTCTGGCAGCTGAAGATGATTCGATGTGGGTGTTCCGGCAGCTGTAGATGATTTGGTGTGGGTGTTCTGACAGCTGTATATGATTTGATGTTGTGGGTGTTCTGACAGCTGTAGATGATTTGGTGTGGGTGTTTCGGTAGCTGTAGATGATTTGATGTTGGCGTTCTGGCAGCTGTAGATGATTTGGTGTGGGTGTCTCGGCAGCTGTAGACGATTTGGTGTGGGCTTTCTGGCAGCTGTAGATGATTTGATGTGGGCGTTTCGGCAGCTGTAGACGATTTGGTGTGGGCGTTCTGGCAGCTCTAGATTATTTGGTGTGGGCGTTCTGGCAGCTGTAGATGATTTGGTGTGGTTGTTTCGGCAGCTGTAGATGATTTGATGTAGGTGTTCTGGCAGCTGTAGATGATTTGATGTGGGTGTTCTGGCAGCTGTAGATGATTTGATGTGGTTGTTTCGGCAGCTGTAGATGATTTGGTGTGTGTGTTCTGACAGCTGTAGATGATTTGATGTGGGCGTTCTGGCAGCTGTAGATGATTTGATGTAGGTGTTCTGGCAGCTGTAGATGATTTGGTGTGTGTGTTCTGGCAGCTCTAGATGATTTGGTGTGGGTGTTTCGGCAGATTTGGTGTGTGTGTTCTGGCAGCTGTAGATGATTTGATGTGGGTGTTCCGGCAGCTGTTGATGGTTTGGTGTGAATGTTCTCGCAGCTGTTGATGATTTGATGTGGGTGTTCTGACAGCTGTAGATGATTTGATGTGGGTGTTCTGACAGCTGTAGATGATTTGATGTGTGTGTTCGGCAGCTGTTGATGATTTGGTGTGAGTGTTCTCGCAGCTGTTGATGATTTGATGTGGATGTTCTATAAGTGGGAAGCTGATAGTGTTTTGTAGGTGGTGGTTAGTTTTGTCTGTGCAATGGTGCGGAGGTTTGACGTACTGTCTGTTGGAGGCGATGGTGATTGTTTACTCAAATAAGACTGTTGGGTAGGTGAATGGTTAACGGCAAATAAAGTAAGGGCAATATCAATTGTTTGGGAGGCCTTATATGTTTATATGGCATTTATTTCAAAAATAATGTAATATCAGGAGTATGTGTACGTTTGGTTAGGAGTCAAACAGGGCCATATGAAGACAGGTGCCACCACCGGAAGGAGAAATTAGGTCAAAAAGAATATTGTCGGTGAAAGGTTACTGATAAGGAGGCACAGTAGTCTAGTTATAGGATGTCAGGCTCATGACCGTAGGGTTTGCCGGTTGGAGTCACGTCACGGCACTGTGTTGTACATATATCTTTGGCAAGCTACTTTACTAGGCTTGTGCCAGTCTACTTAGCTGTAAATGAGGTCGTGGTTGTGCAGTGCTAGATTTGTTTACAGTGAGTTAAGAAAGATACCGACTGGTTGCAAAGGCAATATAACGTCGGATGATAATTTGTGAACCGCTTTAAGACGACTTACGAACTAGATTGTGATAAAGGGGTATATAAGAACTTCGAATTATTATTATTATAAAGAAATAATTCAGGACAAAGATCTGCGACTGAAGTACAAGGGTAATGTTTACAGATATGCTTCAGCAATTTTATACGACATGGAAATATTCTTAATTGTGTAAGTCTGTATGCAGTCATGATGAAGCCATACATAGATAAATAATAAATAGCGTAGAATTTCTATACAAACTTTACAACTTAGTGTTGTTTAACGTTAGTTGTACACCTGAAACAGTTCATTTAACTAGTGTTACCTCCCGTTTTACAGTCTTTATATTTAACTAGTGCTACCTCCCGTTTCACAGTCTTTACGATACTAGTAAAACGTAAGTGTCGGGTTATCAATTTTATCAATCAATTCCCATCACAACATTTTTAAAACAAACATGAAATGAATGGTCCTGGATGGTATTCCAGAGGCCAAAATATGATAGACCTTAAACATAACGACCGCTTACAAATTCAGAAAATCGTATCTTCAAATTCCCGATGTTGTCTAAATTTCACCAAAAGGGCAAAACAATATCAAACAATAAAATGCTGTTTGAAAATAAGGACATGCTTTGCATTGATTTATGAGACTTGCTTGTGTTTCGTTTAAATAAGGCAGTTGTAACGCTATGCAAATGAGAGTAAAACCATAATTTCCAGGAATGATGAGAAACCACATTGTTCGTGGGACCTTCTTCACTGCCGGTATGTACAACGGCGAACCACTCAATACTATGGAAGGACAGACGTTGAACGTGGCAATGACAAACGGTAACTAACTAAAAATAAATCCCAGGGCTGTTTTCGTTTATTGTGATCCAAACGGTTGGACGAGAGTTGTTCGTTTATGAAATGTGGTCAGACCTAGTAATCTAATACTGCTTTCATGCGAGCCTTGACAAAGCCTTGTAAGGCCTGCCTTTTTTTTTTAATACTTGCAATGTTACATTTAAAAACAGACAAACTAGTTGTTCCGCATAAACGAACAGGTCCTAGGTGTTTAGATAAGTATTGAATAATTCCTTTGTATTTTGAGATTTGCAGCGGTTAATTGTGATTACATGTATGTCGTTGCAAACTGAGTTTAATTTGCGATGCTGAGCCAAGTGATAGAGGTTCTATTTGACAGAGTTAAGCAAAAGCTAAGTTGTCAAGCTGTTTTCAGCACACAGGGCCTGAAGAAACAAAAAAGGCCATGAAACATGACTGGATATATTTTAACTTAAGCTGGTATTGACCACTCTAGACCAAGGGGATGAAAGGTAAATATGAAGGGTGTTTTCTTCGTTTGGGGCCAAAACGGGATGTGTGCGCCATTTGTTACCGGGGTTCACAATCACAACTAAGATCCGGTGTATTCTTTGGATACGTTTATAAGTCCACTATTAAAAACCCTGTTGACAAAACAAATACAACATATAAATCTTACATGCAACCGAACATACCCCACATACTTGCATACATAACATAGAAAAGGGAAATAACTCTATTGACAAATGCTATTTTATATTATATATCTATTTTACCTTATCAAATGTACATATACAATGATATTTTTTGATATACTAATTTCTAAATCTGTAACTTGAATGTATGTATTCAGTTATTTTTTCCAAAAAGTTATAAATTCATTCTTTAAACAATTACATAAATGTCATTACTATAAAACCTATACTTTACTATTGCAAATTACTCATACACACTTTTAAAATTCCAGATACATTCTATAGATAGAAATATAGTAATATACACATTAAAACACTCTAGACCTATTGAACACTCACTCCACAGCTATGGTGTGGAGGTTTCCCTCAATTCCTCTCAATTAGTTCGATTTGAAGTTCAACCAGGAGCTATACACTAATATAATATAAATATCCCTTATAAATAATTTGACCATTATGAATATAATGTCAATTCGTAGGAGGTTAAATTAACAAAAAGACTTATCTTTACATACTCAATTTCACCTTGACTTTGAACAAGACAAAATGTCAAGTACTTTTAGATTGAAAAAGATAAAATTACATAGCCACAATTGAATTACAAAAAAGGTATAATCCCTACATTTTCTGTTATATAAGATGAACAAAAACCTGTTAAACAAATAGAGTAAAAACTTATTAGCTAACGACTTTTGACTTTTTCCCCAAATTCAAACTAAAAATGTAAGTCTTTCATATCAGCTGGTCAGGAGCAAAGTCTCCAAGTTGGCCAAAACCTTTACACATGTAAACTGAGTTATCCGTCCTGACCAATCATATGACCCGTCCTTAGTCAGGTGTTATAACAACTCACTCACTCACTCGTATGCACACACAGGTAAGAACATGTAACATACACAGGAAGATTCATTAAAGGTCCTTACACTATCTTTCACACCAGACAACATATGCATTTACAAAAAAATGTAAAACAAAACATAATACCTACAATATGTATATAAGTAACAATTAATAACAATACAAAATATATGCCCTATAATAAAAAGTATACTCCCCCCTCAACAATTTAAATGATCTCCGCATCATTTACGGTACATGACTACTGCTGATAATCACTAGGAGGTAGTCCAATGCAGTTTGTGGAAGGTCTTTTAGGGTTCCTGATTTGGCCAACTCCTGTATGTATGTAGCCCTGATAAGCCAATCTGGTTTCCTCTCGACAACCTCTTGCTGGTTCAATACATAATCTCCTGAAGCTTGCCAAGCGGGCACCCATCTGTTTCTAGTGGATTTCCCTGGGAGTCGGTACTGGAACTGTTACCACAGGACCGGTATTCACAGCCTCATCTGACGGTGCCAAGTCCTCCTGAGGTAGAATGAGAGCACTATCCTCTCTGTCGGATGTCCGATCGTCATCGCTACTCTCACTACCTCCAACTTCAGGGTCGATCGGGGCGTCATCCTCAGCCCCTGAAGTTACTGTGTCCTCATCAGCATTTGTGACCTCAAGGGTACTTGTTGGGGGCGCCTGTCACATTTACTGGTGGATCAGCTACACAGTACACATCCTCATCCGTATCATCCTCAGTTTCCAGTCCACTCCTGTCGTCATCATCATCATCATTATCCGATTTCCTTCTAATTCGTTTGAACTTGTCCTTTTTCATCGTCTGTACCGGGTCATTCTCCAGAACAGTTTCTGTCAGTCCAAGATCACCCACCGGTAACAGTAGGTTACGGTGTAGAGTTCTGGGACGACCACTTCCTGTCTCTGGCGTTGACTCTAAACACAGGTACTTCTGGGTTAGGTCGCTCCTGTACTATGTAGACTGTGTCCTCCCATTTGTCAGCAAGCTTGTGTTTTTCGTCATGAACAAGCTTCTTGACCAAAACGCGGTCACCACATTCCACAGTAGCTCCTCTTACCCATCGATCGAATATTTCTTTCTGCCTCTTCTTGGCCTTCCCGGATATCCTGCTCACCAACTCATAGGACTCCTTTAAACGTGTCCTTAATTCACCCATATACCTAGAATGGCTCTGATGTTCCTCTCCTCTGGGAATACCGAAGGCCAAGTCCACTGGCAATCTGGGTTGTCTTCCAAACATTAGCAGGAATGGGCTGTACCGAGTGTGTTCATTCTTGGGCACACAGATGAGCAAATATGGGTATATTGTTAAAATACAAAGATGATCTACCTAAAACTGGTATGATCATTCTGGACTAAGAGAATTAAGCGTTATTTAAATGAAACAATCGGCGAGAATGATGGGGCCCTGTAAAGAAAAGTTTAGGTTAAGATTTAAAAGACTTCATCTGAACTACTGTTGAAATTAAATTTTACTAAACAGATTTGTCATATGATTTATAGGGTGTATAAGATATATCAAGTAAGCAAGAACATTTCAACTTCTCTAGTCTAGTCACAAATCACAAAGCAAAATAAACAGAGGAGCGATTCAGGCCACGAGGGCCTTTTTATTTCCATTTCCAAGCACTTGTATTTTGAACTTTGTAACACTTGTTGTATTTATAAAAAGTGAATAACTATGTTGACAATAACAACCAACATCCTATATGTCTCATACAGTTAAGCCAAACATGAGAGGGAATCTACATGTGTACATGTCAACGTGGAACGTTCGACCTTTAGATAATAGCATCCAACTTTGGACGATCATGCATGTTATCTATTATTATTATCAACGCTAAATTAGAAATACATTTGGGTTTATTGAGTGAACTACTTGTCTCATAGCACTGGGAATATATAACAACCTAAAGAGTGGTGAAGCCACCTTACACATTATGTTGATACCATCCTAAGTGATGTTAAGGGGACGTAATCCAATTTACCCTAACACGATCTGTGGATACCATCCCAGCATAATTTTAGCTATCAAAGCGACGCAATCAATTTTACCTTATGATCCAGGCCTTTTTCGTTTATCACTATCCAAGCGGTTGAACCGGTTTGACCAGAGTTGTTTTCAAACGATCCCTGACAAAGCCTTGAAAGGCCTGCATAAACATTTTCAGGTCCGCCAGGGTCAGCACCCAAGAATGTTACATTTGATTGTTCCGCATACACGAACAGGCCACATGTCCAAATGTGGACACCATCCAATAGGATGTTAGCTGATAAAGGGACGTTATCAAAATACCCTAAACAAACTAACACAGTATTTTCGGAGGCGATCTGAAATTATATTTTCTGTAAAAGAAAGTAAATCATTTACATTGTAACCATGTGTTTATCTATCTCCTAGGAAATGTCACAGTCAATGACGCTCCATTGGTCATACCCGACTGGACATGCTCTAATGGCGTCGCACACGTAACCGCCACCGTTTTTATGCCCCCAGGACTTCTAGAGTCGTTGACTGACGACGATGTTCGCTAAAAAAGAAACTAACGGCATAAAACAGCAAGTGAGATGAACATTTAAACAGGTTTTTTTTTATTACAATAAATGTTAATCGATATTCGGTCTTTTTGAAATACCAACAAATCAATGATTTTTTTGCAAAATAAAACTTTGTTGATATTTTATAAGTGTTTTTATACTTAGATATTGCAGTTTTCGCGGTTGTTTATTATGGTATTTTTGTTCTCCTACAATCTCATATGTAAGACCAGTTAAAAAAAATACACACTTTACTAACAAAAAATATTATATGAATGCCGTGTTAGTTTCATAGGGCCATCACAAATTTTTTGTTGATGTAACGTGTGTAATATCAATCCGGAAATGACGTCACCATCGAATAGGAACAATCAATATGACGTCACGTCATTGTGAAGCGGACGCAATTGTCATCGTTTCAGATCTCTATTACATAGTTTTCTTTGTATTATGATACTAGTTTTGGATTATTCATATTTGCCCCACAGAGGCTCGCAAACATGAAATATTTAAAACCTGAATCATCAATCTTATATGAAGGGAAACTTATGACAGATCCTCCATATCTGAAATTAACCGGTACTATCAACTTTTGAAACTAATAAATTAAGGGACTTTGTTCACCTGCCCTTCTGTTTCAACTACTAAATTGTAAAGGTGCCATCACAGATGTGTTAATGAAGGTCGGTGATATTGGTATTGACTCTTTGTACTTCATTTCAAAAACAGCCTCCTTATGACGTCACTTCAGTTGTGTTTTCACGATTCTGACAACTAAATGCAGTACCTTTCTCTTGACTTTTGTTTATCGTATCCATAACATAATGTCCAACAATGTTTTAAAAAATAAAAACGTAGCAAGGTAATCTCAAGACGTTTAATTTAACAAACACAATTAAATCAAAACAGTTACACAATTTTAAATATATGTTAAATGTTCATCACCAAAAATATCCATAAAATGTGGTGCATAAAACAGTTCTCGTCATGGGAACTGGTTTGGTTTCATTCGGTTTAATGTTCTATCAGCAGCTAAGATCATTAAATGACGAACACCATGTGGTTCATGCATGCGTACATGTACTGCAGGCCTGGTAAGTAGGAGTAGTTATCTCGATAAAATACCATGCCGAAGGAACCCAGCACTGAATCCCACCTGATCACAAATTACTGACAAGAGATTAACCAGTTGTTGCCATTTCCTTAACCAGGGAATAACGACCACCATCTTTAAGAAACTTTCAACACTTAAGCTTTTAATTGATGTTTATATGACAAGACAGATATGTAATGGTTTGGTTTTATTTTGTTTAACGTCCCATAAACAGCTATGGTCATTTGAGGTCGTACCTGCATTTGTGTTGCGTATGCGTGCGTGTGTGTGTGTGTACAGGAGACAGAGTAGGTTGATGTACATTTGTATTTGCCTCCTTGCGATAGCGCGGATTTGATGCCAATTTTATTAGGATAACATAAACCGTGACATACCAATTTTTGTAGGTCCCGGTATAAGGACAGAATCCATTACCTTCCCCACCTGGGCAAACGTTCCAACTTAAAGCCAAAAGTGAGGTATTGCCAAGCAAGGAGATATGAAATAAGGTAGTTGGAAGTAGAAAGAAATATAAATATCCCAAATATTGCAATGGGTACAGGAGATTTATCAGATATACAAGAAATTATCATTTACTTTTTCCTGCTCTTCATTTTTACAGGTACCTTTAACTAGTCCGATGTTAAAAATCCTAAACGGGAATCTTGTACCTTCACTTAATCCTTGTAATTTCATGTTACATTCAACTTTTGCTTACCTTACTGATTGTATAATCATTGCATCATATGTAAATACTAAAACATTGTAATTCTTCAATTATTAAAGTGCTGCCAATCAGAGATTAATTCTAAAAAATAACAAGAGACCCATGGGCCTTACCGGTCACCTGAGTTCTAATATATTTATACAGAGAGTTGATTTTTGGGTTTTAAAGCAAGAACAGAAATATTATTCACAGTGACAAAAAAACAATAAAACCACCGTATTCAATATCTAGCATACAGATTTAAGACTGTAAAGTATTTGAAACTAGCACCTCTGATTATAAACAAGGAAAATTAAGAAATTTTAGCACACTGACTCCTTTGGGCCCTGTCCTACAGACCTTTGGGGTAGGGCTGGCTCAAAATTTTCAAAGTATCAAACTGTCAACTCAGGGTTATAATTCCAATCAAGTTATCAACATGTAATATCCAAAGTATCATTTGCCAATATAAACCATAATAAATTTTGCCCCCCCCCCTTCCCCAGAGGTAAACGTGAGACCCTAGGGTCATAAAATTCACAATTTTGGTAGAGCACCTTAAAGCCCATACTGATAATGCTAACCCAAATTGAATTAATTCCAATGGAAATTAAACAAATGTTGGTCCAAAATGTGATTTCTTTATATAAACTATAGTCAAGTTTACCCCCTCCCCAGGGGGAAACGTGAGACCCTAGGGTCATGCAATTCACTATTTTGGTAAAGCACCTTTAAATAAGACCCTTCCATCTATGAAGAGTATTTGATTCTACCATATCTGGGTTTTCAGAAGAAGAATTTTGAAATTTAAGTCAATTCGACCCTTTTTTGCCCCACCCATCAGCCCCTGGGGGTCAGTCGGGGCTGATATGTGCATACCATCAAACTGATATCCGATACTGATAATGCTAACCCAGATTGAATTAATCCCAATGGAAATTAAACAAATGTTGGTCCAAAATGTGATTTCCCTATATAAACTATAGTAAAGTTTACCCCCTCCCCAAGGGAAAACGTGAGACCCCAGGATCATGAAATTCACTATTTCGGTAAAGCACATTAAGACCCTTCCATCTATGAAGAGTATTTGATTCTACCATATCTGGATCTTGAGATTTTTTTTTACAATTTTTACATTACAATTGGTTCAGTAGTTTTTGAGAAGAAGTCGATAATATAATTGTTTACGGACGCACGACGGTGGACGCACGACAAAAGGCGATCGCAATAGGTCACTTGAGACTTTGTCTCAGGTGACCTAATAAAATGCTAGAAAGATCACTTCAGTACTTTGTAAGATATAGTGATAACACATTTTTATTGTTAAAATCAAAGATGACTGCCTGTTGGCAATTTCGTTCATCCGATCAGTCTCAAAAGCAATCATGTTCAACTAAACACCAATTGGAAACTTAATAAAGAAATAGAATCATAATAAAGTTTCGATTGCACAAAATGTGCAATATAGTCCCAGCAGCACGTCATGGTGTGCTCCACATGTATGAAATATTGGAAGAATATTTATCGGTTTAGAATTTTTATTAGATAGAACAGGATAGTGAGCTCTTATTAGATTTTTTTCTTGATTAGATATTGGAATTTGTTTAAACTTGATGCTATTGTTAAGGGATTTTCATTCCTAAATGGGCCCCAAAAAGGGCAAATATTTATGCAAGGTTAAAAAACTTGTGCAAAACGTAAACTCTAAACTTTCCTGTTTATATTTTAAGATGTCTAGGAATGAAGAAAGGAAGGCGTGTCAAACTTTATCTGTCACATTAACCGAAAATATCTTATGCATATGATTATCAATACATGCTAATTTCAACTTGGGATCATTACCATAAGGGGGCGAAATGAATGGGGCCAAACCGCGGTATAAACTATCCAATTGTTCTTAAGAATATCTTGTAAAGAACTATTAACATCAGGGAGTATCCGTTTTGGTTGTAGAAGGTGTGAATATGAAATTTATAAAGAGCTCATGTCATTTTACATGGACGCAAAATAGGGCCCCCGTTTACCAGTTTTACAGATAAAAATGACATACATTTATGTTGTACTAGTATTAACGGAGATGTTTCAACCAGACTTGACTGAAATCCTACTGAACTTATATCATGTTTTTGTGAACTGACCAATTCATTTCAAACGTCTTACACGTGTTTACATGTATAGACGTTTTGACTGTTCCCGCCGCCATCTTGGGTCAGAGGTCAAGTGGTTAAACTGTTGTAAAGAATATGGCAGTGCTTTCATTCGTGGCGATTGAGCGCTGTTGCACCATTATGGGGAACAGATGCAAACAACTAATCTACCTACTATTCCGTCGAAAGACGACATTCTAAATCCTTTTACTCGCAATATCATAATTTTAGAAGCGTGACTACTTGGCCTGGTAGGCCAGAACTACGGAGGGCATGACGACGAACATGCGGAATACATCAATGTATATGTTTTATATAATCAGACTAACTTCTTTTTCTTATTTTTCAAAAGCTTACATATCGATACTTGCAGCGTTGTTGAACGACTACAACAGATAAAGCACAAGAGCGAGCAGTTCTACTGCGGATGATAAGTAGCTGCGATAACGTGCATCTTTCCGACGGCTTGAGATTTGTTTATCTATTGCGCCGGCCGGGGCAGAGGAGGTCGGGTTTTTATATTAGTGCAAGCATATGAGGTGGTTATCATATCTATTTGCAAAGTGCTGAACCCTTTATTTTATTTCAAATCTTTTTATTGTCACAAACAAAGATAATTACAAGTATTACAGAAGAAGTATAACAGTTCATGTATTAACAAAGGGATAAGACAACAGGCTTTTCCTATAGATAACCAGTATCCGATTATTTTAATTTCGTTAATAAAATATTTAAGTTATGGGTGGTAGATCATAGGGAAAAAAAGGAAAAATGATTTTTTAACTATAATGACTCTCATACTACCATTTGTAATTGGTATATTCTATACTGAACCCATTATGTGCAGAAAGATGACTCCCTACAGGCTACTGCTCCTTTACAGCTGGGCGAATACATTGGCATGTCCTATGCCATATATATATATATACATTATACACACATTGTGTCACAAATATGTGTTCAGTGTAATGCACTTCTTGTGCAATTATAACTTTAATTGGCTTTGTGTTTCCTGCATTTAGCCTGACCACTTAATGTGATAGACCGGTGTGAATGTAAAATATTACAGATCACACAATTACACATTGGCTTAAATAATAGATTTATCAAATCTTTATATTGATTTGATGTTGTAATTTAGCCCGAGACATATTCAAACAAAGTAGAGATTTCCCTATTTGTTTTTGTACCAGTAGTGCTAATTAAATCTATAGTGTTGTCTTAGTTACAGTCATGTCATTTTTATATTTGATTTTCTTATGAAAAAAATATTTAGATAATTCAACTTAATTTCAATACTTGCTCTGAAGGGAACTTTATGGTCCTCCATTTGTTATGTGTGCGAATTTGAAATTTACTTCTTGCAGCTTAATTCACAGGTCAGTTAGAAGACAATCAGCAAAGGGAATCCTTTGATTGTAGCAGTTCACACTTGATCTTCATCATTGGTGGGGAATGTTAATCAATATGCCTAAGTATCAGCAATTTTCCAAGAGTTCCACCATATTTCACACCATCAAAGAGATTTATCCGATATTATATCTGACAAGGTTTTCATTTGATGGAATTTGATAGAATTTCAGTTCATACAAGATATGGCGAGTTATTCTCAGAAATAATATTTCACTGCAATTATTTTATATGGCAAAGAACAAAATGGCATTGTTAAATAAATTTATCTGAATGACTAGTCATACCGCAAAATAAATCAAGTCAACACATATGTAGGAAAATATAGTTAGATGATTATTTAGAAACATAAAATGATTTTTCAGTATTTGATTTTGTTGGATGTAATGGATTGGTTATATCATACATACCTGCCACAAACATTGCATGTACATGTGTGGGTTAATAAAATAAAAAGACAGAAAAGACAAAGACATCTGGCGAAACGAAAGTTTGAATTTACATACATGACTTATGAAAATACCCATTGCACCCAGTTCACAATTGACTCATACCTAACATCCCATAATTAAATATTTAACAGCACGATATGTCCTAAGCAAATACCATAACGCAAGCTCAGTCACAGATATGATACACAACTTGCAATGGCCAACACTACACACACGTAGAACAAGAACACGCATGATGCTTCTCTACAAAATAATACACCAACACGTAGCAATACACACCAACAATCTCATCCCTGCAGACACCAGAACACGTCAAGGACACGACCTTAGTTACAGACATATCTACACATCCAAAGACACATACAGACACTCGTTCTTTCCATACACCATAATACAGTGGAACCTCCTACCCAACACAATAATCCAATCAAAAACACTAGCAGAATTCAGGACATGCATCCTGCTACGGGATCAGACGAAGGTAGAACGGAAAGAACTCCAAGACAAAGGAAAAAGGTGAAACGAAACAAACAAGGAAACCCAGACACATATATAGTGACCCACATTATACATCCGGAAAGCACAGGACAGCCAATGCTGATGGATTATAACGACGCAATAGATGTCACACCCAGAAACTGGAGCCCAGAACAAAATGCAAGGATTCCAGTTAACCTAGTTCGACCTCCATCGAGTCAAGAATCCATGGAGCAGTCGGTAAATTGTTCGTAAACACGAACTCGTGCGCAATTGGATTTTTTTTTATCTCATAAACTAAACAAAATAAAAGGTTAATCCTTAAATGAATTAAAAAACTTAAAATCCACCAGTATTTATGTTTCATGATCCCGGGCCCAGGTTTCAAGTACATACTGATCAGAAAATAGTTTGTCGTAAGTAGGTACATAAGTAATAATGAAATAAATACTATGACTCAATATCAAATGGACTTAACAGGAGAAATCAGGCCGCAGAGCCTTCATTCTTTCTCTGGCAGTGCTACAGATAACCTGTGGTCATGAAACAGATCATTGCTGTTTGTTTTGTCCTTGCAATCGTTGCTTCAGGGGTGTATGCCCTTACTGGATGAGTTGTCTTTCATTTAATTATTGTGCATGATTTTGGTGACTAATATTGCTTTTGTTTTTCTTAGCTTTTAACAGATATATATATATCCGTGAAATGAATACGCCGATTTCATTTATATTTTAACATCCTTTTCATTTATAAAGATTGAGAAGGATTACGTTTGACTACAACCACGATCAAAACAATTTGCATCGCCACATTACATCCCTTGCAATTAGAAGCTTTACAGAAGCTTCTGACATCAAATAGAAATATTTCCTTTTATTGTATGCTTTGATTGATGGTGTTATATTTACATTTGTTGTACATGATATTTACATTATCTTTTGATCAATGTTGACATATTTCATAAATAATATATAAACACTAAAATATTTACTACTCTGGAAAAAGCGACGAAAATACATCTGCTGCACCCTTTGCAACATTTGGGATAAGTATAGTTCCTTATACTTCTTAATACCCTTTTTTGCCTACGACTTGCTTGCAAATACATCACTTTTGGTATTAATATTGAACATTTGACAGGTGGGGAATGCAATGGAGCCTCTCACAATCCCGTTACATACCAAAGTCCTTATAAATCCCTGCTGTACGGTTAGCATTAAGGCTAATGACAACTGGTTAACCAGTTGTCAGTAAATGTGACCGGGCGGATTGTTGTGCTGGGTTTCTTTTGGAATGGTATTCCAGTGAAGTGTATAAAATCTACACGAGATCTACTCTTCCCCACACTCACCACTCACACCACCACCACCACACGCGAGTACACCGTTAGACCCCCGGGCCGTCCTCACCTCCTAGACTTCCTGACCGCACCCCAGGCAGACCTAGAAGAATATCCCGTTAGCGTAGAGAGATGTTATGCTCTAGTAGATTTTCTTAGTATAGAAATAGTTAGATATATCACCACAAAAGTTGTACTTGGTACTCTTCTCCCTCATCCATAGTTCTCTAAATTATTGTGAAAGTATGCTTTTCTGTGGATATTATCTGTGTGAACATTTTTAGGACTCCAGCTGAGTCAAAATTGTGTAATACTTACGGATTTTATCCGATTATTAGATCACCACCGACAATACAACGTCAGGAAATACAGAAACAAACATCTAAGACACAGACCAGCAGGAAACAGATAAGTCATTAACACACACTATTAATACACTCTATCCTCATTCTATAGGTTATGCTCTTAATCTCCTATACGAATTGAACGTATTATATAATCACTATATAGATCAAGATGCATGAAGTAGAAGTTTCAAACCTAAAGGGGAAATCCTCACCACTTACCAAATGATGGATCAGAAAGGGACAGTGGCCGACATACAGGCACATGTAGGGGTCTCCCCAATCCAGTTCCTTCCCTCAGGGTTTATGCTAATTATCTGTTTAACAGTCACACAGGTTCAGTGGGCCCTCAAAACTACAAAGGTCAGAAATCTACCTTTCTCACCTTATAAATCGAGTAGACCCTTGGACCGGAAAAACACACCCTCCCAACAAAACCAAAATCCCCAAACTTCACAAAATAGAAATCCAGACAGCCCAATAACAACTAGGAGAGGAGCAATTTGCAACATCCCCATGAACATCAATATAAACAATTTTCTCAACCCCTATGTAGTTAAAGCCACCCGTATGTTAAACTTCAAAGGCAAACTAACCACCTCAGTTCTCCTCTTATTCAAATCCCCCAAAGTCCCACGGAACATAAGATACGACAATAAAATCTTCTCAGTAACTCCTACGTCAACGGATACAAAAAGGAACAAAATAACAAAACAGAGACAAAACTAAATAAAACACAAAATAAAACCTACGCGAAAGTAGTATTGGAAGTTATAATAGACTCAGAAACATTTTTTTATTTGTTTCATTTTATTTCAATAATCATGAGGCAGTATAAGAATTTCTATTTCATTTCATATTTGTAAGCAGTATGAGTGAGACCATTTTCACCCTCTCCGGAGGTTTGTGGAAATTAAGCCATTAAACAGCACAGTAATGAATGCGTGCATGAGTATTTATGCCTGTTGCAGGGTATGTTTGTGTACTAACTTCTAGTAATGGCGAGAATTTGACTATTTCACTGATATATTATGTTTCCTCATGTTATTGTTACTAAATGTGTTTCATTGATTCCGCAATTTGAGCAAAAGCCCCCAATAAATATATGTTTAAAACAAATACCTACATGTAACTTGAGTTTTAAAATTTGCACCGGTCATATTCCTTCGCTGTTTTTACCGATCTTGATATCCCTCCGAAATCTCTCGGTTTTGAAAAAAATATATAGAAAATTATTACAAAATTTTCATGAATTAAATTCTTTAAGATGACCACTGATTTATTTGAATTCGGAGGGCACCCTATTTTTTTATTATCCCTGCTTATAATACTTCAAATAAAGGACTTCCTTTATTGTCTTCCCAAGGACATTAGCGAAAATGCAAAATCCCTTAAAATCCAAAGCAGATTAGGATATTGCTGATCCATGTCTGTCGTGTTTATATCCGGTTACAACAATATTGTTTGTCGAAAGTAAGTACGTAAGCAATAAGGAAATAAAAACTACGACTCAATATCAAATGGACCTAAAAGGAGACATCAGGCCGCAGAGCCTTCATTCTTTCACCGGCAGTGCTACAGATAACCTGTCGTGATGAAACAGATCATTGCTGTTTGTTTTGTCCTGGCAATCGTTGCTTCAGGGGTATATACCCTTACTGGGTGAGTTGTCTTTTATTTAATTATCGTGCATGATTTTGGTGACTATAACTGCTTTTGTTTTTCTTTGCTTTTTACGGATATATATATCCGTGAAATGAATATGCCGATTTCATTTAAATTTTAACATCCTTTTCATTTATAAAGATTGTGAAAAAATACGTTTGACTCCAAACTTGAACAAAACAATTTGCATCGCCACATTACATCACTTGCAATTAGAAGCTTTACAGAAGCTTCTGACATCAAATAGAAATATTTGCTTTTATTGTATGCTTTGATTGATGGTGATATATTCACATTTGTTGTACATGATATTTACATTACCTTTTGGTCAAGTTTGACATATTTTTGTCGTAAATAATATTTTAATTATACATTAAATGATAGTGATGGATTTACTTTTGTTGAAAAAGTAGATAATCTTTCTATATAATATATAAACACTAAAATATTTACTACTCTGGAAAAAACGACGAAAATATATCTGCTGCACCCGTTGCAACATTTGGGATAAGTTCCTATACTTCTTAATACCCTTTGTTGCCTAGCGCTTTGCTTGCAAATACCTCACTTTTGGTATTAATATTGAACATTTGACAGGTGGGGAATGCAATGGAGCCTCTCACAATCCCGTTACATACCAAAGTCCTTATAATGGTATTTGTTATTCCCTGCTGTACGGTTAGCATTAAGACTAATGACAACAACTGGTTAACCAGTTGTCAGTAAATGTGACCGGGCGGATTGTTGTGCTGGGTTTCTTTTGGAATGGTATTTCAGTGAGGTAGCACTATACAGTCTACACAAGATCTACTCTTTCCCACACTCACCACTCACACCACCACCACCACACGCGAGTACACCGCTAGACCCCCGGGCCGTCCTCACCTCCTTGACTCCCTGACCGCACCCAAGGCAGACCTAGAAGAATAACCCGTTAGCGTAGAGAGATGTTATACTCTAGTAGATTTTCTTAGTATAGAAATAGTTAGATATATCACCACAAAAGTTGTAGTTGGTACTCTTCTCCCTCATCCATAGTTCTCTAAATTATTGTGAAAGTATGCTTTTCTGTGGATATTATCTGTGTGAACATTTTTAGGACTCTAGCTGAGTCAAAATTGTGTCATACTTAAGGATTTAATCCGATTATTAGATCAACACCGACAATACCACGTCAAGATATACAGAAAGAAACATCTAAACCACAGACCAGCAGGAAACAGATAAGTCATTAACACACACTATTAATACACTCTATCCTCATTCTATAGGTTATGCTCTTAATCTCCTATACCAATCGAACGTATTATGTAATCACTATATAGATCAAGATGCAGAAAGTAGTAGTTCTCAAACCTTAAGGGAAAACCCTCACCCCTTACAAAACTACAAAGGTCAGAAATCTCCCTTTCTCCCTTTATAAATCGAGTAGACCAACACAACCTCCCAACAAAACCAAATACCCCAAACTTCACAAAATAGAAATCCAGCCACCCCAATAACAACTTGTATAGGAGTAATTTACAACATCCCCATGAACATCAATATAAACAATTTCCTCATCCTCTATGTAGTTAACTCTTTCCGTACCGCAAATCCGGTCCGGATTCCGTACCCGATGTCCTTACTAGATTCGCCCCCGCGGAAATAACAAAATGGCGGATTAATAATGTTCTTTTTAGACGAGGTGTTATTGCTGCAAGAATTAAACAGGTAACCGTGAACAAATATTTTTATTCTTTCATGTTGTTGTTAATAGACACACACTTCTTCATTTTCGCAATATAACGACTAACTGGCAGCTGAGAAATCGACATATGTTCGGCAACAAACGATACGAAACCTTGTTTTCAAAACAGCGTTGTAGTGGAGGTTCCTAATAGGGATTGATTATTGTTTACGAATACGAAGTCGTTAGTTTTTTTTTCTTATTACAAGTAAATTTCATTAAGACTTATATTAAAATATTCATATTTACTTCCATAAGTCTAAATAAATAGCTGGGGATGAATTTACGAGTGTTCATATCGAATTAAGTTGTCGCCATATTGTTTATATTTGAATCACCAAACGCAAACATCTTGCGGCAGATCTTCAGGAATATCCGGCAAAACTTTATGACACTTTCCATAATACTTTTATACAGGAATTAGGTGTGGGGCTAGAGATCACAGTAGATCAACAAACAAACCAAAACATCACTGTAAAAACACAAACCAGAAGGATTGTGCTAAATCACCCGATTTACTGCCATGCCCTCCCTCGCCAAGCTCTAGTGCTCCGGGATCCATTTCCATCAAAAAGTATAAGTACAGTTGAGACAGAAAATATGTCTATAAAATGGCCAGAACCCCTGTGTCTGACACCCGACGACTCCCCGCTCGAAATCCTCTTAAACCGAAGGAAATCCACAGAAACTCCAGTCACAGTCAAAAAAAAAAAAAAACTAGGAGAAAGATAAAATCTGAAAAAGAGGAAACAACCCACAAACCAAAAAAAAAATAACATAAGAAGAACCACCAGATCTGCTAGGAAATTAAACATGTAAGGTTATCACCCATAAATCAAACCAACGACAAATCATTAAATAGCCAATATGGCAGACCAGACAGGTAAAAAGGCCCGCGAGCTCGGGATCCCTGTCTGTTCTCAGCTGGAACGCTCGCGGCCTCAGAGCTAAATTAAATAGACTAAAATAACTATTAGCACAGCGCCAAGACGGGGTGTTCTCAGTTCCCCCACATTTTATAGAACAAAGAAAAGTGTTGATATAGGAAGACAATGGCAAACCAATTATAGTCTGTTTCATACTTTCCCCACAGGTAACTTAATTACCTGTGTAAAAGTAACCTGTCTGACTTGTAGCTTTTCTGTGTATGTGATATGTTAGGTATATTTATATATATATTTTATTATAAGTTTTAATTAGTAATGGGGGTATGTAACTGATAAGATAAGAGAATAAATTAGCTTTTCTGTGTTTGTGCTTGTGTTTTGATATAAAGAAATACTTTAAAAGTAGCGCACATTATGCTGTTTGCTTGCAAAGCTGTGTCATTCAAATTGATCATAAATACCATACAAAAACAGTTCAATGCTTAAATAAACGATGTCAAAAACAATGATATTGATACATACAATGAAAACTTAACCAACGTCATATTAAAAGCCGCAACAGAAACAATTTCCCAAAACATCCGGTAAACCTAAAGAACGGAAACATAATCCCTGGTGGAATGAGAACTGCTCTACAACATACAGATAAAACGTAGATGGGAAAAAAATTGCAAGAAAAATCCCACTGAACAAAACTTCCAAAATTATAAAATAGCCAAAAACAAATTAAACAGAACATGTAAAAAATACAAAGAAAAACACTGCATCGAATTTTGTAGCACACTCAACAATAAAACTTCTACTAAAACAGTGTGGAATAAAAATTAAAGCAATACAAGGGATGCCACCTAAAGAAAAACCCATTCTAGGGGAAAACGCGGAAGGAAAAACACATTTAGAGAAAGCAAATTTACAAGCTAAACAATTCCAACAAGCTAGCAGTAATCAAAATTGTGAAGAAGGATATAAAGAAAATAAAAATACGGACATATATATATTAAAGAATATCTTAATGACGCGGATAATAATGACACATATCTTAACATCCAGTTCACTTTAAATGAATATGCAAACGCACTTAAAACAAAGAAAAAAACATCTCCAGGCATAGATTGTCTATCATATTCTGTACTTAAAAAATGTCCAAATAACCTAAACATAATTATTTTACACCTAATAAACACTATTTGGCAAACGGGGACCTACCCGAAAACTTGAAATAAAGCGGTAGTCATCCCAATTTTGAAACCGGGAAAGGATACAGAAAATCCGGCATCGTATAGACCGATTTCCCGGACAGCTTGTCGGCGTAAAACACTAGAAACCATGATAAACAATAGATTGAAATACCACATTACTAAAAATAATCTAATAAGCGAAAACCAAAGCGGTTTCAGAAATTATAGATCTACCATAGACTCCCTAGTTAGAATAACGTCCGAAATAAATTTAAAACTCAAAAGCAACGTTTAAATCCACGCACGGATGGGCTGATAATGGGGCTTCAAAATCTCTAAAGAAAAAACGGTAGCCATGTCATTTTCTAGAAAAAATATACAACCAGATCTCTATCTAGGTAATAAAAAATACATTCAAACAGACGTAATATCTCCTAACCCAACACCACCATGGTTACGAGGCCAACCAGATATTAGTAAAGATATTTTGAACGCGACAAATAAAAAAAAACCAATAGCAGCTAAAGCCATAGCATTATGTATTATTATACAAAACCCTAGCTAAATACTGTACGGACGGGTCTAAAAACCATGACAACAATATAGTAGGGCTAGGGATGTATTCATCAGAACATAATATAGCGATATCCGTTAATATGCAAGCGAATTAATATCCATAGGTCTAGCACTTAGAATTATTGACCAGGAAAAACCTGAACAAGGGGCCGTAATTCTTACAGACAGTCTATCCTCACTACAATCGATTGAAACCAAAAACAGTACAGTAACGACCGTACTTAACTCTATTCTAAATTCAGTACAATCACTTAAAAATCAAGAGATTCCCGTTAAATTTGAATATGTACCTGTCCATGAAGACATTCCAGGAAATAAAAAAGCCGATAAATTAGCCAAAAAGGCACTAAAACAAGAAACAATTCAATATTAAGTCAATTTATCTAAAGAAGAGACTTACTCTCTAATAAACAAAGCCATAGATAAGAAATGGATAAAAACATGAGACGAGGCAGGGGAAAACAATGTACTACGGTAAAACCAAACTTAATGACAACATAAGTATTATAAATAACAAATATCACCAATCAGATTTAAATTACATCAATTAACGAACTCCTAGCAATGAAAGAATCAGAAAGATTAATACATTTTTTTTTGATCAAATCGACTACAGTCTAGTTGGTC